CACAAAAATCCTGCTTGCGTATTAAATAAGTATAGATCCTACTAATATTATAAATGAGAAAGTTTAGATGTATGGATGTATGGATGTATGGATGTATGTTTGTGACAAGTGAACGCGAAAAATACTGGTCGGATTGGGCTGAAATTTGGCATGATGATAGCTCACATTCCCGATTAACATATAGGCATATTCTTATTTCAAAAATCCTTTCGGGCTCCGCCCCAGTGGCTTTGGAGTTTCCCATGTTAACCTTATGAGAAATGGAATTATTGAATCTTAACAGCTGTTTCAATTAAACAAGTTGGTTCTGTTCTGTGATGTTCAATAGCATTAAAGTTACAAGGATTACCAACAGGGTGCAGCACTATTATTTCTTTTACATTTATGACAACAGCTAATTTGCAACCAAAAGGTGAGTGAGCGTAGCGAACGAACTTCAACCTGGAGGCGAGTTAGCGTAGCGAACGAGCTAACCTGAAGGCAAGTGAGCGCAGCGAACGAGCTCCAACCTAACGGTGAGTGAGCGTAGCGAACGAGCTCCAACCCAAAGGTGAGTGAGCGTAGTTAACAAACTTCAACCCAAAGGTGAGTGAGCGTAGCGAACAAACTTCAACCAGGACATGATTGAGCCATGCGAACGAGATAATCTTGAAAATTAAGAAGTTGAACGGGGCAAAGCCCGCGGGTTACAGCTAGTAGATTATATATTATTATTGTGACCTGTAGTTTTCACTTAAGTTCATGGGTACTTTGGGGGATTCGCACCATCCATTTTCTAAGGTACTGGACTTTGTAAAAGTGGAAAAATTTAATTATTCTCGGAAAACGTTAAGAGACACAATTTGAAACTATTCATGTAAGTATAAATAATTTGAAGACATTGCTTAGCAATAACAGAAAATATTTAATTTGCTATACATTTTTGTCCCACAGGTGCGTTACATGAGATTGTACTTTGACACTCGCCGTTTACGTCAATATTGCTCAAACATTGTTTTATTATATATGGAAATGAAGCGGAATTTAAAGCCCTACATGTTTGCTAAAATGTAAAATCTGCGTTTCCTCCATAATTATGGCGAAACCCCAAAAATAGTGAAAACATGTCAAAATGTTTTAACTTAATTTAAAATTTCATTTTTTTTTCTTAACTTTTAAAGTTATATTACTATTATATAATACTAGGTGAAACCCGTCGAAATCGACGGTTACTTTCAAGGCTTACGCTAATTCATCTAACTGCGATAAATTGAGTAAAATTATACATATTTTGAGCATTTAACATTGTTTAAAGAGTAAATAAGTGTAAAAACAATAATGATATTAATTGCGTTAGTTACCAAATATGGTTGATCATTCAACGAATAAAATATTTCCCATACTTTGGAAGAACCTTTAAACAGTATTAAAATCGTATTGGTGGATCTTTTTTAGTTAAAAACTTCCCCGATTTCATCAGTGTAATAAGATTAATCTATGATTTTATTTGAGAGAAAATATCTGCTTGTTGAGGAGACACGTTCTAACTTGAAAGGGAGGTCCTCACAGTGTAAGTTTGATTTTTCCTTCGACACGTCGCATCAGTTCATATCGTACTTCTGTGCCAATGAATTACCCTCTAGTATAGTTTTAAGAAATTGGTTGTGGGGATATCGTACTTCTGTGCCAATGAATTACCCTCTAGTATAGTTTTGAGAAATCGGTTGTGGGTTTAATGTTAAAGCTAAAAGACACTTCTGCACTTGTATTATTTTGTATTGTATTACACAATCGAAGATTTTTCCAATGATTGAAAACATGTATGACAATAATCTCACGAACCTATGATGATCTGTCTAGAATAATATGATAAAATATAGCCAAAAGTGGTGAAAAAGGCAGATACCAACCCGTACAATAGATATAAGATAGTTCAATAAGAAATAAATGTTAAATGAGAGTTACTGTGATAAAAGGATTTTCTACTGATTTCTTAATGGAACGTTATATTGCAAAATATGACATGATACAGAAGGAAATCAATTTTAAAATCAGAAAATAACATTGCAAATACTTCTTTTGGACAGTTCAGTAACTCCCAATAAATATGTGTTGTTTAAAATACAATTCAAAAATTAACAGCTGTTTCATTAAAAAGTATTATCCACATGGACAAAATGTAAACAAATCTGTGGAGGGATCTTTAAGGGCTTTTGGGGCAGAGCCCTAACAGGATTCACTTAGTTTTTCTTTTGGTAACTCATCTAGAGACCAAGACCTTTCTTTGGACACCTCTTCCAAGTTTCTACGCCCAGTCGTTCTCTCAAATTAATGGAGACAAAGTTTCCAATTAAATATTTAGATTCCCCCATGTTAATCTTATGGAAGAAAATCCAACTTTGATGGAATATCCTGTCCAAACTAATAAAGATTTCAAAAAACGAAAAAGACTTTGCAAAACTACAGATCAGGGCAATTCATTTGACACTTTAATCATCAAAATCGGTCCAAAAATGAGGGAGGAGTTCTGTTTACAAAAATCGGCTTAGCGTATTATATATATAGATATAGATGGTATATTCTTGTAGATAATATTATGGCAAAGAATCTAAGACTAATTAGACTTTTCTGGATGGAATTGTTTGAGAACAATAAGTTTTTAAGTGGAACCTTGCAGTGTTTTAAAGATTGTCCGCCATTTTACAAGATGGCGGATTTTGCTACAGTGAGAAAAGTTGGGAATTTTCATAAAATGTTAAGGGAGCATGCCTAACACATTCCAGTTGGTTTTGCTTTGTTATTAATTTTGCCCAGGTCAGGCCTAGTTTTATGCTACTGGTCTTAGACTATTGTGAGATATGATTTGTAAAACTTCATTTTTCCTTGAATAAATAAATCAAACAATATAACAAGCACATAAATTAACATAAGTTTTTTTTATGAATATTAACTGTATTAAGTTTACCTTGCCTGATTTCTTGACTGCTGTTGTAGACCTGTAAGTATTTTGCTTGAGGTGCGTATAGATGTAAACGAGATTTGTAAATAGACCAACCAATTTACGTAATCATAATACATATGTTTTTAGTTGTTTTTGTGGCAAAAGGCAAAAGGAGGATTTTATAGGGTGAAAAGCCAAAACTTGCAGTACCCAAAGTCAACAGTATAAACCTATGAAAGCTTTGACAATTCAGAGTCTATGATGAAAGTCATACGGAGTTTCTGCCCATATGCATAGCAAAGCCATGCAGTACACGAGGTATGACTCAACTTTTCTATGACAGACATAAACTAAGTTAATTGAAAAACAAAACCAAACATAGCCTACTTAGTTCAACTTATGTAATTACTTACTAAATGAAAATGGAGTTTTCATTTTCTCTATTTCTTGGTTCTCCAATAACGATTTTCAATAACGGTTTAGTAATAGCGATTTTAATCAAGTATTCGAATGATAGTAGCCGTATCTAAGTATAGTAAGGTAGTCGTATGATACTGGTAACTCAAAGTTGTCATTGAGAGACTAATGTTCAGTGTCTATTGATTACCACTTTGTACTGGCTGTGCATAGTTAACTTCCTATTGATTATGAATGTTGGATGACAGCATTGCTACCCATATAACCACCAGTATGCCATCCTATTGAATAAATGAGATTTATTCAATTTATTATACATTTATTCCTCAAACGTTAAAAACATTTATTATAATTTTGTTACATAGCGGTAATTATAATGTAATGTATATCTGTAAAAAAATTAATGACATTTTTTAGGAAAAGGCTTATGTAGACAGTTTATTCATAAGGATGACAAATCTGTAATGTAATATTGTTGATCTGTAATGTATAACCAAACCAATAGAAACATTTTCTATACTCTAGCCCGGAACCTTCTTTCTGATTCTTTCAGGCTAAACCTAGAGGGTTGTGACTTTCTCACATGTCAACCCATTGGTGGTTGGGGAGACTAGAACCTGGGACCCCAGGGGCCTGAAGTCCCGCACTCTACCAATAGTCCAGCTTGCCTTCCAAATCAACGGAAATTGGTCAATGTCTTCATAGGTCTATCACTCACTCTATTTTAAACAAAGGAGCATTCAAACATCTTAACTGCAAAATTGTAAGGCACTTTATTTGTATAATCTTCAAATAGCAATAAAAAAAGATAGTGCAATAGTTTTAGCTTAGTATAAAAGAAAACTTGTAATATGGTAACTAGAAGTAGGATATAGCAGTATTTTTTTTCCTTAAATAATCTCTAAGTTCATATTGTAATACAAGGCATAGGATAGTCAATTGATAAAATGAGTAAAATAATGTTTCAGATGTCAACAATGCAACAGCAAACAAACAATGAACAGCTGATTCACTATTTATCATGCTATTGTTTTGGACACATCTAGTGAATTGTAAGATTGTATACAACTGATTGTATGTAACTGTATAAGAAGAAAGGTTAAATTGTAACTTTCAATGATGCTGCAAATAAAAATAAATACAACTCCCACACTTTCCATAGTTGTAACTTAGAATGCCAACAAAGTTACTTTTCATAAAATAGTGACACATTAAACAAAAATATATACAATTTTCAGATAAGATCTTCGAAGCATTAAAAAATGCTGTTACATTCACGTCACAATCACATAAATACACACTTAACCAAACAAAGACACTAAAATATCCACTGAGCGAGGGATACAACTGGAGGTAGCACTGAATGAAAGAATAATCGTGTGACATTGTTCGCCACATGTACTAGGGTTATAGTACATTGGAACTAGGGGCTGAAAAGTGGATTGTAATAAAGCCATGAGCTCAATGAGCTGGTTGATTCTTCTAGTTGGTACTAACACATAACAAAATTTTACAGTGTGTTTATTTTCTAGAAGAGTTGCCGTGTCAGCGCTACCTCGGTATTTCTACCTCAGTGAAAATATCAACACTAATCACTTACAGTACCTTACAGTATTAGCAAGAAACAAAAAGACTACACCAACTATACAACGATGGAGTTCTTAGTTTTACCATTTAATTTAAATAGGTATATGTTCATATCATGTACACAGTTGATTTCGAAGTAGGAATACACCAAGAAAGAAGTGTTCTTTCAAGTTGAAAGAAGACAACGGCAAAGTGTTTTTATCAAAATATTATTTACGGGTAACGTTAGCCACTCTGTAGTTGAGGAGTTTCATGTGGTCGTTTGAATGTTCCATCCCAAATCCAGAAATGATGATATTGTCTATCGATATGAGGAACACCATGACTACGATGATGTCGTTGAGTATGATGGCTGTCGGGCAGTCAGGAGCATGGTTGATGTTGAGGCCTCCGATGATGATGAACATGATGCCAACACAAACCTGCAATCGGAAAAGATATTGTTGAAAACTGCGATAGTCTCATTAGAAATCTTGTATTGATTTTGTGACTTCTTTTCTTATTAAAGAACCGGCTCAGTGATATGGAGTGTGTTACAAATTATTTGGCTTCTGATTTTTGGGGTATTATTTGAGAATCTTTCTGGAAAGTTTAAGAGAGAGATTTATCAAATACAACTCATTTATCCCCTCAGCATGATATATAGCTTTTATACGTGTAGTTAATTTTACCTCTGCCATTTTAAATTATTTTGTCGAATAGTTTGTTAATTATCTGTTTAAATTTTCATTTAAATCTTTAGTAACTTTAATAAATTTGCATTTCATCTGTCTTCTAAATCTTCCTAGCTCTTCAATTTCAAAATTTCAAACTTCAGTTTTACAGTTCATTATCATGATGGATCATCCTGGGAGTCGTGTAAATTGGCTGAACATGCTGCAGTTGCTTATGTTGGTTTTTAAAATCTTTGAGTGTGGTTATGAATTTGAATCAATGTTTGAGCTCTTGGACCAATAACCAATTTTTTCCACTTCCTAATTATATTTTTCATTCACCACCTTCACCTTTAGAACATTCAGTCTGAGACAAACTATCCAAACTATGATCTCTGTACAGGAGTTCCAATATTTTTTCCATCGTCTAAATGATTTCTTCACATACCTTTCGCTTCTTTACATTGAGGGTGTTTTGAACCTATCCAAGATCAGCGTTTGCAGAGAGAGTTCCAAGCCCCGGATCAAAGGCACTGATCAACACATTGAGTACTGTCACAGCGAAGGATGCTGCCACTGCCACATAGTTTATGAACAGAGCGGATTGCTTGTACTCGATGAGATGAAGCTTGCAGTCACGTAGGAGATTTAGCGAAAGGAAGATCACACCCATCCCCACCTGCCCAATGTAGAAGATTAGGTTATCTCGTATAATATCACATGTGAATGATAAAACAATAAAATTCTGGATGGATAATCATCAACATTGTATTTTACTGTTATAAAGTTTTAAAAATGTTAAACAATTAAAAATATTCCAGAGATAACTTAACCTTCTACTCTCTAGCTACTTTACTCTACTACCTTTGGGATCAATATATTTTACTGTTCAAATAGTCCTTTAATTATAACCAACTAAGGTTTTTAATTACAGAAATTTCTTTCATTGATTCCATCTAGTGTGTAGAGTGTATGTTTATGTTTTATGCAGAATTATTGTACCAACTTTGAAGCAGTTAACCAAATGGTATATTTGTACAAATTTTTGCTTGTTTTTTTGGTATACAGTATAACCTAAGTACAGACTGTCAAATTTTCCTGGAAGAGGGAAGAGGAGTTTAACTTTTGTAGCGATAGTCAAACCTTTTAGTCTACATCAGACCACTCAAGAGTCTTTTTTCACAACGTGTTCTTCATCTAAAGCATGGACTAAGCTGTACAGGAAAGGAAAAGGTGAGGAAATAGAAAGTATAAACCACTAGGAAAACTCTCAGTGAATGTTTTGTGTTGAAATGGAAACTGCAACACTATTTGGGATACAAGCGATAAAACGACATGCCACGACAACTGCAGAATCCTCAAAAGGGCATTCAATCGACATTTTGTTGTTGAGGCGTTTGGTTTTGCCACGTTTAATTTCCTTTTTCTTGGGCTACGTTACACAAGACAGGAAAAGTAGAGGACTGGATAGCATCTTTCTGGTTGGATAATAATACATTCAGACTGCAAATTGTGGTGCCTGTGGCCGCATACTCCTGAAAGAAAGTTGTTCCAGCAGTTTCCTTTTGCATCCTGTCTAGTGTAGTTAAACCTTTATGTACAAACCTGTAGAATGATGGAAGTGGTGATGAGACCAAGCATGAGGGAGTAGAACTCGTGTCTGTCGCCGACCTGCAGTATGTACTTGAGTTGGCTGGCGTTGGCTGTGAGGAGCGCAATGTCCAGCATCCCCTGGGCGATCGTCTTCTTGGTCGCATAGCGGTTGGCATCCAACAGCTTGTTCTGCCAACAATCAACGTTTTTAATGTTTCTACATTTTAGCAGAGCTAAAATATTAAAAAATGGTGACTCTTAAAAAAACCTCACTCACTTACAAAGATAATAATTACATAGAAAGATATTTACCTGTAGATGTGCATAATCCCTTTATAATTTAAAATAGGGTAGAAAATAAACATTCAAAATGGATTTAAAATTATGAAAAAATTAACGTGGGCTTTATGGATTGCCATGTTGGTGACGAAATAACAAAATATAAACAGAAAATCAAAACAAATGGAAGAAATTCCAATCACATGTTTTATTTACAGGATGGGGTGGAAAAAGATAACTCTGTAGCCTACATTACGGTACATATTTTTGGTCGAGTTTTCGACCATTGGACGACCTCTAGTTTTGATTAATATATACCACCATGACACAAAATAATTGTTGGCAGCCACTTCTTGCAATTGCGACATTAGTTCAGTTTTTTTATGTAAATTATAAGCAAAATATTTATGTATTGTGAATGTGTATCGGAGTGAGATGGCTTATGTTTTTAATGACTTTGAAAAAAATTTTCTAGCCAGAACGATTTATTTTAAGCCTCAATTATCATTATCATTTTTGATGGGGGCGCCCGACTATACACATATTTTGCCCAAATATGAGTGAAGAATGGTAATAGAATGAAGTGAGGTGCCTTGTGTAGCTTTGTTACTGGCTAAAGATTAGATTTTTCAATAGCCAGGTTTTAAAAGGCCATAGTACCAAAAATGACCAAAGACAGCTGTAATTTGAACCATCAAAAAGCTACAACTTTTCTCGTGATCAAAGGCGACCTTTTGGTTACTAGGTGAGCACTATAACCATGGAGCTACCCAGTATCAATGATAAAGCTCAAGTTTGTCAGATTTAAACCATTTAAAAATGTTCTTACTGCTCTCGTTCTCAGGACCAAACCAACTAAGCTTTCTGGAATACCAGAAAAGAGTTAACACTCCGCTAATAACTTAATGGTAACAATTAAATGGTATTATTTCCAAGGAGAGTTTAAGCTGTGCACTTTCTTTTGAATCTTAAAAATTCTGCCGACATTCTCATCCTACATAAATAATTTACTTAACCTCCTGATTTTGCCTAACATCATAAAAGCTAATAAAATTAAATATACTATGTTAATATTTTGACATGGACTGCAGTAGCTAGTGGAAACTTTATCAAATCATTGCTAAAATCCATTAAGGAAGCCGTTCTAGGTTCTAGAAACCATGGAGTCCTTCAAACGCCACAGCCATTTTGATTTTCTTGGCATTGTTGGTTTCTCTCGACGTAACCCTACAATCAGTTGGACACGGTTGTAGTTACGACATCGTTGCTTTCCCGACTGTAGCAAACTGTTGTCGGTGTTGTCGTTTGTAGGTTAAAGTCTATAGAAATTACCTTCATCTATTTTTTTTACCATTACTGAACATTCGAACATGTTTACATAAAAACATGACAAAACTACCGACCCTGCAAAAAAGCAAACATTTAAAACGATGGTGCAGTTTAGCCTAAAAGTCTAAGAGAAAATTTTCAAAATGCACTAATTCAGAATTATTTGTATGTAAAGCAATAAACTTTACATTACATTGCCTATTGAAATAATTCAGTGCCAACTATATAAAGTAATAAAGTGTAAAGCTATAAAATTGCCCACAGATTAGTGTATACATTTAATCAATTTCAGCACGCTCATAAGAGAAACAATTAAGATACATATATAAGAAACACACATGATACGAAGTCAGTCTTCCAACCCAACAATCAGATGAGAAGTCTACACGCATATCCAAAGTCAAATAAGTTTCAATAGTGTTATGATCCTCCAGTCTTTTGTAACGTTTTCGTGGCCGACAAAAGGGATATCCTACTCATGAATATGCGCCTCCACGAGCAAAAACTTTCAGTTTATTGTTTGTTTACATGCAATTGAAAACATTCCTTGTTACAGCACTTGCAGAAACGGTCAAACATTTTAGACCACATCTAGAGCAAAGTAAACACATACTGATAGTCTACATTTTGTTATAAATTATAAAAAAACATTTAGTAGGTATATTAGGCACCTAAGGTATACAGCGCTACAAACTTGACAGTTTGATGAAAAGTCCATCTACTCTACTTCTACATTACCTGGAAATAATGGTATTACCATAGATGGTATTACTTATTTTTGAGTAAAATAATGACCAGGTACAATCTTAAAGCCTGTCTGGTTGGGACAGAATGACCTATTTTCTTTGAACACCTGGGCTAACCTAGTTCTATTGTTGCTTTGATCACAGAATTGAACGTAGCAATCAATAAACAGGAGAATAAACACCTGTTGTAGGCTACACAATGACACGCAATTTTTCAACTGTTCATCTATTGTGATTGTGATATGAGGGCGTGGCATATGAATAAGTAACGTTTACAGGTTCAATGACTGCTTGAATATAACTTACTAACTAACATAACTTGCTAAAACACAAAACACCTTTATAAGACAAGTATTTTGAAATTGATCCAAAACTAGTAATTTAGCATTGATATATTAAATATTAGACAATGATGTATTAAAATGGGATAACTATCTAGTAATCAAGAACAAAAATTAAAACATTACCCTAACATCACCATAAGTTTTACAGGGGTAAATTACGTGTTTTTGTTTGATTTGAAATTAAATCATAAATTACAAGTATTCTTTCTGGTTATGACATCACAAACGATTTCGTTTTACACTCATTTCGATGTGAAAACTTACAATTCTTATGATAAGTTTTATTTTGAATCTGTAATATTAACTTATCATTAATCCTTTATTAACTCCAACTGTTGTGTCTTCCTTTTTCGTACAAAACTGTAGTGATAATGAAAATAATTGTTGAAATATTTGAAAAGTAAAGAGAAGTTGATCATCAACTTATTAGTTATTATTGCTTTTTTATGTGTATGTATTCACAATAAATTTAAAAATCATTCTTTTATCGAAATAGGACTATATTAGAGTTTATTATACATTTGTGTGAATATTTTTAGTATTAAATCACAAATTGATTTACAATAATATTTAATTTACCTCACTGTTGCCACCAGCGACGATCGCCGCCAAAGCGCCTAGCGGAGTTTCCACAGGATTCAGGACTAACGTTACAAACAAACATCTACAGTCCGTATCATTCGGTAACCGCGATGTATCGATCCGATACGATATACTATCGAGTAATCGATGGTTTTAAGTAACTACAAAAGTACAACCTTAAGTTTTAAGTTATCGCTCATCCAAAAAAAAAACTAAAAATTGTTAAAATCTAGAAGTACATAATATAAAAAATATAGTTGGACCTCAAGGGGGTGTATTTCTTTTTGTTATCAAGGTTTTACTTCTATTTGAGGTGTATAATATAAAAGGTTTTAGTGCAAAAGCAAATCCATCATGTATTTAATAACTATTTGTACCAACGTCAACATTATCTAGTATTCTACACATGATTATAACAGTAGCGTATTTTGTTGGTTGATCTCTTGTTCTTTGTTTACATAAAAAAATGCGATTCAATTGAATTCTTTTAGAGTCAAAACTGGACTTAGCTAACTAGCTTTCCAAGATCAGCTGATCATAGCTGAAGAACCAGCTGATCATAAGCCTACTAAAGTAGTACGTTTTCTGTGACTAAAGCTACCCAGGTCATCTCACTCTCTCAGAATTCTAGTCAGCTTAAAATACGTACATAAAACACGTATTAATGACTCAAATAATGATTGACTAATATCATTACGGTAATCAATCGCGATAGGTCAAGCGGTCAAACTTTCGATACATCGCCTACTATCGATACATTCTATAATCGAATGACGACACGTGCCTGTCACGGACTTTGGTCACGCGAGCTCATCGATCTATCAACACAAACGTCAAAAGATTTTCAAGGCAACATTACATTGATTTCCAGGGAACATGGCCTACATATTGAAAATACAGTAAATAATAATAGCAACTTAACTTTTCTGGAAGTGGGTCTAGAAAATCCGTTAACTATTGATATGGGTGTAATATAGTAAATAGGCGCGATGTTTAAGCAATTTAAACGTGAAATATCAGTTTAAATTTTTAACACGCTAGTTAACCAAAAAGCTGGTATTGAGGCGGGCTAAAACATATACATGAGCATTTTTAAAAACGATATAGAGTTTCAAGGCATGTACGTCTCTTATATTACCAGTAGAAAAAACATTAGGCCTATTAGTTTGAGTACCTAATCATAACTTTTGTACAGTAATGTGTATAAAAAATTGTTTTAACTTGCTTCTTAAATCATGTAAAAACTGCAACAGATAGAAATATGCAATTTCTTTTGTTTTCACTAAATTATATCTTTACATATATTTTTCTGTAAGTATACCGTAGTCTTCACTGTGCCATCTAAATGACCTTTGTATCTATTTGATTTTTTTGTTTATGCCTTTTGTTATGTATTGTAATTTATCTTTGACTTGTGTTTTTGCAGCATGTAATCTACTTATTTATTGACGTATCCAAATGCATATACATGTCTAATGGAATAAATATTGATTCTTGATTCAGTTTACGGGAATCTATTGACGTAGGGGCCACAATTTTTGTGAATCCAACGTTAAGAACACTATTTTTTTAAATAGTAGTTGAAAAATAAGTCAACATTTTTAACAATTTTTTTAATTCACCCCATTTCTCCCCCTACCTTTAAGTTAAAAATTTTAAACTGCAAGGTACCTCTTCTGACATATCAAATGAGAGGGGGTGAAAAAAGAATAAGAATGGTGTAAACTAGAGGTCTCTACGTCAATCCTATCAAAAGTTATAGCAGGTCAAAATTTTAATCCCCCTTTTTTTTAAAAAAAAACACGTTTTTTGTAAACGGCTATAGCTCGAAAACTGCAAGATCTAGCACAGATTTGAAAGAATTGTCATGGTCAGGAATTAAATTTTCCACAAAAAAATTAACACAAAATTCAAGTTGGCCTATTAAATATATAGAATAGATTAATTTATATGTTTTTTTAGCACGATTAATGTTTTAATACTATATTTTTATATTAAAAATGAGGCGTCTAAAGGGCCTTAAACAAAAAGAACAAAAGAAGTGAATCAGATCCTAATCCAGGCTTACCATGAGACATACTGTTATACTGTAGCTTATTTCCTGTATGAGAAATTCGCAAAACGAATATTTGAATCCTTTCCTGCTTGACACCATTAACCTACTGGTCTGTGTAGAGTTAATTATTACCAAATTGTTGACATTGTGTGAATTACCAGCAAGTTGTACGGTGGGGCACACGGGAGGGACTAAGGCTAACATATCTTGTAGTGTCAGCGTTCGCCGCTAGGACTGCTAAGTTGAAAAAATTTAAATTAATTTTTTATTTTTTGTTATAAAATTAACTTTTTAATTATAAAATATTGTTTTAAGATTATAAAATAAATTTTTAATTTTTAAAATTAAACTGTCATAACATAACCTAACCAACCAGACTTGCTGATAATATAAAAACCATATAAGAACAAAATCTAATTAATGATTACTTATAATTTTTAATTAATTATAAAATTAATTTTAAAATTTAGTATTATAAAATTAAACTGTCATAACCTAACCTAACCAACCAAACTTGCTGATATGAAAAATTTGTTGACAAAAAGTTAGTGCTGCCAGCGGGTTTCGAACTCCGGACCTCTTGAACACCAATCCGAATCGCTACCTACTATGCCACGAACGCCGCTGAAATCACTTTGTTTCGTTACGGTAATCGTGTCGCCTCAAGAGAAGACATTAACCACTAGAGATATGACGTCACTACACCTTTAGCCTTAGTCCCTTCCGTGTGCCCATTCCGCAAGCGGTATAGTGGTGGTATTAAGTCAGCTGTGACTGCAGTGATATAATAGTATTGACAGCTCTAGTCCTAGTCCCTAAATAAATACTGAACCTCCGTGTTAGGTAAAGACTAGAAACCATGCAGTTGATTTTCTGTGGACTTTAGTTTAGACTTTGAAAACAAAAGTTTAATTTGAGTTTTATGATTAAACTTCTATTTTACCATTGGGACATTTAACTCATGGATAACCTCTATTGGCTTACAAATGAACAGGAAGAATGAATAATTACAATTAATAAGGGTATTGATTAAGTATTAACAGTATTAAGACAAGAAAACTGTTGTTGCATAGTAGTTTTTTCTTTGAAATTACCAAAAACATCCTTAACTGAAAGTTTGAGTTCCAAAACTGTTTCCATACTTAAAAAATCCTTGTTTCTGAATAAAGTAATTGTATACAGCCCTTACAAATTTGCTGTCATTATGGCAACTTCCTTAAACATTGGAATAATACCTACTTACTAAAATGTTACACTAAGCATTATTCTAAGGTCGAGGAATGAAAAAGTAAAAACTGTTGATAATAATTTTTATTTTGTGAGAAAAAGCAATTGTGAATTGACAAAGTTTAACGATAAAAACAAGCACTTGTCGACGCTTCTATTAAACCCAGGACGGTCTATCACAACTATTATAAAGCATTTCTTGAAATGGAAAATCTAAAGAAAATTTCCTTATCAATACCATAAGCATAAATGAGAGATACAAATAATGTAGTTAAGTTAAATTATTGAAAGAGATGCTAAAAATGTTGTTAAAAGCTCCTCCTACTATTTGAGTTATAAAATATCCATAAATATTTAAACAATTACAGTAGGCCTATTAGTAATGTGGAAATATATTTTGATTCTTGAGGCTTGAGAATGGTTTCATACTTTACAGTACAATTCTGCTTAGCAGTTGCGACTTAAAACTTTCTCATAAACTGGCTTGAAAAGAACTTGATATAACATTCTACTGAACTTACAATTTCTACTAACAGTACCTGTATCACAATTCACAACATAACCTACAATTTTAACTTATTAAACAAAAAATTTAAACCGGATTTGATCATAAAAGTTCTAAATTGTTTAGTTGTATATTATATTACTCTAAATAAATATCTGACATTCCAATTCAACTTTTGATTGGTTTTAACAGAAACAGAAACCTACTTGACTTTCCATTCATTAATTTTTTTTATTTGGCCTACAGTAAAATAAGTAGTTAATAGTGTTTGATAAATAATCACAAACTTTGGGTAACTTAACAACAACAAATATGAACCACAGACAAATAATACACTCCTTACCTAATTAAACCAACAAAATCCGAAATGTTTAAAACATTTCTTATGTGACACAGCATACACACAGCCATCTTTGATCAATCTTCTATCAAATCATTGAGACAAATTCAACAGGTTTTGTTTGACTTAACACAGTATGTATTATTATTCTGAATAGTTTGTGTGTAATTTTTGTGAAAAATTTAATATTTGAGGCAACGTTTTTAAATGTTTTCTGAAAATGGTAATAGTTAAAATAAAGTATTCTTACTGTTTTGGCTTTAAAGCTTACAAAATATTGAAATTGTCAAGGTTATTACCTGAGTTGTGAAATAAGAGTAAGGTTGTCATTTAAAATTAAATTTTGCAACTGAGCAAAAATGCTTACGAGAAAATTTTCCAGAAAAACACTTTTTCATTAAATTAGTTTACAACATCACGTTTGTAGTTTTATTAGTACTTTGAAATCTATTTAGTATGTGTTTTAGTGCCATTGAACTTTTGTTGGGGTTTCAAAGGAATTATCTATAATATGTGTACAAACATTCAGAAACAGTTACTCTGTAAAAGATTTATCAATGTACATACCATTTAATACCGGTACCCTTTTCCAAAATTGTTGTTTGAGGCAAAATTATCGATAAATATAAGAAATACTGTATATTTTAAAAATTTAAATCCATGTATGAAATTTGGGATTTTCATAAAATCCATAGCATAAATTAAACAAAAACATACACAAAATAGTTTGTAAAACTTAGGCCATAATCATTCACACTGGTTGTTTACTTAACCTAATTGTTCACAGCCAACTTTAAATCTTAGATTTTTTTTTATTTTGAATATAACCTTTGACTATTATAACTCTCATTAGATCAAACCTCCTAAAATAAACACTCAAAAATAACATATTTCAATATCCATCTCGTTCTAACCATCTATCTTAACCTAATTAACATCAATGAATTTTAAATATTCAGTTGGTTCCAAATCTAACAAGACATACCTAATTACTTTTCCCAGTTTATTTAAATATATTTATTACTGTACTGATTTCATACCAGTTATGTAGGCTACTAAAAGGCTAATAAATCAGATCAAGGAATTTCACAGATTGCTAATGTTTTTATCTTTAGTAGGCCTAATGATGAAAACAAATGATTTACTTATTAAAGTAAATAACCATGTCCTTCTCCAACATCATCACTTACAAATGTTCAAGTTTGGAAGGCCTTTTTATTAGGTTAACTAAACATTTGCAATCCAAAGCATTCTACGAGCTAATACACTACAAAGCCAATTTTACTTATGAATCATAATTCACTAATTTCATGAGGACCATTTGATTTAATACATAACATAATAAAGCTAAGCTTGTATTTGCTAATAATTTAGTAACAAGTTTAAAACATGTTAGGCATTAGACAGAGACGTAGGAATTGGCTAACTCAGGAACTCGCTAACTCGGTCGTGTGTCGGAACTGGCTAACTCTGGAACTGGCTAACCGTCTCAGTCAGGAATTGGCTAACTCCGGAACCCGCTAACTCGATTTTGTCTCGCGGCGGAATTCGCTAACTCTGGAAGTCGCTAACCCGGACGCGCGCACTGCACGGGGCGTTGCCAACCTTGTACGACAAAATAATCGTACACTGCCGTATTTCAAAATGTCAGTGTCAATAAAGATAGAGTAAATGTTATTGTTTTTTGTTATCAATTCCACTTTTGACAGATAACTAGCCCAAAGTAATTCAAAGATAATTAAAAAATCATGAAAAAGTGTTTTTTTTTTTATTAAACTGTACAATGGCCAGTTAAATGTTTATGATTTCGTTCTTAAATATAAATGCCATCAGTATTAAAGAAAATAATAGAATATGAAAAATATTAAAAATTCAGTTGAATTGGTACTAAATAATTAAACCTCTACGAAACTAAGCTAAAATACACGCAAGTTCTTAAACACGGAAAACAGATTTAATCGTAATGTCGTAATAAACCAGAACCATTAATTAATGCAGTCATCAACCATCGTAACTTTTATAACTAATTCATAGATTTTAAATTAAATGTTCGTCGTTGAACCGTCCAACTTACGTGTACAAATATGATGACATAGACTAAGTTTTTATCTAGGACTAATAGTTTGAACCAAGGCATTGTAGGCCTACTAGTAAATAGTTGCCTAATTCTAAAATGTGTTGAATTTTTTAGCAATAATGTTACATGTTTTAAAACCGTTTTTAAATTTACACCTAAGTACCACTAGTAAAAAATAGGAGAAGATATAATATTCATATAATAAAACGTGACAGGGTTATTTTAATTCACGATTCTTAATAAACGAATTAACGGATTTTCCTGATTTGAGTGTTGGGTTTCCTTTATATTGCTTTCACAATCGATATAAACTATACCAAGCCGCTCGGTTCACCGTTACCCAGTACTGAGCTACACAATAGACAATAGCTTTGTTTTTGGATAAGATCAAGTAATTTTAGCTATGGCCACCATTCATAAGAATTGTAACAAACAAGAACGCCTGGGTCCATTTAGAACCAGCCTGTAGAAAAACTTCAGACTTTTAAAAAGTAGGCCTACGGAAAGACGTAAAATTAATATTAATTCAACAAAATTAAGAGGATGACCACCGTACACATTCCACACGTTCCTTTCTACACTAATAGCCTACGATAAAAGAAATTTACAAGTTGTATTTATGCATAGACTAACTTTTAATGCAATCCATGAATACATTAGGCCTACCACTTTATAATGTATTGATAAATATTTATTTAAATTCAATAGCTCTATTTAAAAATACATTACCACTACAATGTAATTCTTTAATGACGTTTAATGTGTAAATTTTATATTATGATTCAAGGTTACAAGCACAGTATAGAAAATACGAACTCAATAATTTTATTTGCAGAAGTTCACAAAATGGTATTTATTCGAATAAAAGAAACAAATGGCGGACACCGAAAATAGATATTTCATAACATGTAGATCCAAATTAAATGTGCATTTTTATCTTTTTGCATACCAATAAGCTACTATTTAAGTAAGAAACCCACATATAAATCATACTCCCTTATATACCCTTAGTACATTTCTCATCCTTGTGGATCAGCTGAAGACAGTTTTATTGTTAGTTCTGTCCGGTGCACTGTCTTTAGAGGTCGTGTTTTGTTTACAACTGTTTCTTGTTTTCAGTAATTTAAAACCTCGTTTAACCAAATAAAACGTTCTAATCACAACTAATAACACGTCCCCTAGTTATATAACCAAACAGTAAAGAGCAAATCATGAAGTTAACTATAAAATAATAGAAACACAATTTTGTCGACACTAGCGATCAGTGTCACCGGACATGAACTAGACACGAAAAACGAGCTTCGAAGTTTTCAATGGGATGTAAAGTTTACTTGTGTTGGCTAGTCTATGGTAAGACTATAATACATTTTCCACAATAATAATCATAAGAATAATGTTAAACATACTTCTAAATATATTTATTTGATCGACTACGTTGCTCATACTCCTAATTAATCGTAGGATACGACATTATGGTACCGATACGATATAGGTACTACACTTTCGGCAACACTGGCCAAAAATATTCGTGCTTGGCTCCCATTGGACGGCCCGCGAGGCTTCTGATTGGGAGTTAGCGAGTTCCGCCGAGGGGCCGAGTTAGCGACTTCCGTACGAGGACGGAATTCGCTAACCTGGCTCTAGAGCGGGTTAGCGGGTTCCGGAGTTAGCCAATTCCGAAACCGAACAAGTTAGCGAGTTCCTCTCATCGACCAAATTTGAAGATAGGGCGTTTAACATGGGGTTAGCGAGTTCCAGAGTTAGCCAATTCCGCGGACCCATTAGACATATCTATTTGTTTGTTAATTATTACTAAAATATTTACATAGAATGATTCTACAGTGTAATTTGTTATTCAGTAGGTTCTTTTAACCATTAATGGACTTGTTATTCATGATAAACTAACTTAGAGAGTTATTTTCACCCAAAAAAAGCTACAAGATTTTTTTTTTTATTCTTAGATTAATGTGACCTTCTTGGTGAATTTTGTGGAACTGGGATGGTAACCAAACAAAAACGGAACAAGGACCTAAATTAGATGTTCGTTCCACATTATTAAAATAATTTTTCTTTATTTTCACTGTAAATGAGTTTTATTTTTTCATTTGTCAATGCTGTGTTTCGAGTTTTTTTTTTCATGTGACAAAAAATCTCTTGCCCATCCTTTTCTTGGACTTAAGTTTGGTCCCATTGTAAACTGAATTCATAAGCAGCGTATTTTGACATTTGACCATAACGTGAATTAATGTAACAGGTCAATCGCCTACAATAGGTTAAAAATATCCCTAAAGATAATTTGATATGTCTCTTAATAAAAACCTATATAAAATGTCGGTACAGGGAGTCCGAGTTGCACGTGGTAAATGTGTTTTACTGTGATTGTCACGCTAAACGAATAAATGATGGTGAAAATTATAGCGAGACTGGAGAAGAGAGTTGCTGTGGACAGGCCAGTTCTGTGTGTACAGGGTGATCAATATGCCACCACCCAGCCCTACAGTCCACTCAGCTCTTGCAATATCACACTACATAATTAAATATATTTTATTCCATTATTTATCTGAATATGTTTACGCTACCACGTAAGACGCAGACTCTCTGTAAACATATTTTCACCACACTACACAGTGAACAGCTGATTCCGGTCTCTTTATAAACATCAAAAAGGGCTCAGTAAAATCAGCTGTTGGTAAATTGAAAGGCATATTTTTAGACTCTTAACAAAGCAACCATAATGTCATAAACATACAAAATTATTAAAATTCACTTCCACATTAATATTGGAATTAAAATTGGCCGTCATCAGAAGACCACAATTCTTATATTGGAAAGGTTTAAAAACTTTACTATAAAAATTGGAAAATAATTTTACCTAACCCGCCATGTTAAACTTCCCTATCCCAAGCGTGATGTATACAATTTCCTTACTTCTCGAGTGATGTAAAGTATCAAAAAACTCACTCGGTGATGTAATGAAACCCATTTAAATAACATTGAGTGGATAACTTAAAAAATATACCTCTATGGAGCCAACGACGTTCAACGCTAGAAATCAGCTGTGTGTTTGGATTTTATTGTTATGCTTTGAAGAATTTTCCTAACCTAGCTTTTGTTTGTAAATGAACGTTACTGTTAGAAGATGAGTGAAATTGATAATGAAGCATGATATTGCTCGTAACCTCCTGAATATTGTCGGGTCAGGTAAAATCTTGTACGTTACACGTTACGCAAGAGCGTGTTTACATCACTTAGGTAAATTATGCAACTCGCTTCCGCTCGTTGCACAACATTCACCTGCGTGATGTAAAAACGCTCTTACTACACTTGTAATGTAAATAGCTATTAAAATGTTGAGTTAAAAATAGTGTGATAGTATGAGTGAGTTGTGTTTTACTTACCCTGTATATTTGCTGCGTAGTGTGGTGAAAAAAATGTTATGCTACTCATCGGGGATGGACTTTCCGGTCTTTTGGCGTGGTAATATACTAATTAATAACTGATTACACAAAAATAATCTAATAAATTACCATTTACCTTGATTAACTACTAAACCAATTTTTTTTGTAAGTCCAATAAAGTCTATACATTATTAAATACAGTGTTATCCTTATAGAACTCATAATCTAGTAAAAAATAAGGTAAGAAAAATACTTAAAAATTAATACCTTAATGATTTGATTATACGATCACCTAAAAGGTTATTTTTTAATATTACTGTATACTATAGTAAAACTAGAGAATAATATAGTGAAGTTAAACATAGGTATCCTAAAAGATAATAGCCTTAGAAATGCTTAAAAACAGATGAAAGTTCTTTTAAATTGTTTTCAGATTTTTGACAGATTTTTTGGGGGTTTGATTTGCTAAGCCAAAGAACAAATTTGTTTATAATCATAAACGGTTGTAAAGCAGTTTCAGCTTTAGTAAAAGTACAGTTTTGTACAGGAATGTAAATAATGCCTATTTTAGGGAACACAATGTACCTAAATGGCATTATAAATTATTAGAGAATTTATTATGTTGTGTTATTGTTGAAGAAATTACTAGCTTCGTTTCCAGAAATTACATAATTACTTTCAAAGGCAGATCTTTCTAAAATATCTACACATTTAATGAAATTGTGATAAAAGACCAACTAAAAATAAAGACAATACTGAGAAATGAACAAAAAAGTAAATTTGAGAGCAGATCTAAGATTAAAACATACAGATTGAGTGAACCAGTGAATAACCTTTTGGATTAAAAAACATTATACCGTATTGAACTTTTTGTTTAGTCCAGTCTATTACAATTGGTCTGAAAGAAACTTTGGGGTCTGATTAGAACCTACCCTTCTTTAGTTCAAAGAGAGAGTCTAAATCAACCTGGAATAAAACAAATAAAATTAAGTGTTCCAACCAGTTCATCTTCAAGCTTCCCACTATGTCTCATACAAACAAGTTTGATTGTATTTGTCACGGTTCTTTGATTATTGATGGAAACTGCATACTGCAATGTATTATATGAAATTCATAGTAAACACGCTAAAGTACAAATCTGTACTCATTTAAATATCTAAACCCTTACCAACAATTATTCAAACATTCGGTCATTTATTAGATCACAGCTTCACGTATAGCCAGTGAATGACAATTTCGGTCATTATCTATATTTGGATTTAAGATTTCTTGATGGATGTCCATGACGATGCTTTGTGGTGGATTAAGTGTTTGCTCAATAGAAATCATGCAGATACTATATAACCAGGATTCAATTGCAGGTTAAGGGTTATGGTAATCTATTAGAAGAAAACTAGTAATTCACTAGGAAACTCTGTTATTGAATCTGAGATGGTTATTTTTATGATACATTTCAATGTTGGATACAATCGGAAACTCAAGCTTAAATGGTTATTCACTGGTGCACTCATCCTATATAACAAAAAACCCCCGCCGCAGCAAACCTGCAGACTAAGCGAATTTCCATTTGACTGATTGGATTTACACTGAAATGTCTACTTAAAAATATAACATTTATTCCCAATTTAAATAGAATTAGTTTAACAAGTACTTAGGTTTGCTGCATCAGGGAGGGTAAAATTGTTTTTTTTTTGGAAAATGTTAATAGTTAGTAAGAAATAAAAAAATTTTCCAAATTTGATCAAAATATGTTCATAAACAAGCAAACTACAACAGTTTACTTATTCTCCATAAGAATAACATGGGAATTTTAAATTTACAATTTTTTTGAATTTTCTCCGTAACCGTTAGGCGCATAATAACGCTTCAATATACTAAATTATTTGTTTTTTTAAGCTCTACAAAATGGTTTGGAAATAAATTGCAAAATTTTAAGTTTTTTGGGTCAAAAATGGGAAAAACCTATTTTTACCCCATAAAACCCCTTGTAAACACCCGTTCCCATGGTCCGATCATGCTGGATCGCGAACTCGTTCGAATAAACGTAGGTTTACACGTTTGTACCAAATTTCATCAAAATCGGATCATTTTTGCTTGAGTTATCGTGCTGACGGACACATATATATATATATATATAAATATATATATATATATATATATATGAATTTGAACGGATGGTGTTTTTGGCCTCTAGGGACCTAAAAACGAAAAAAAAAATCGGTCCCGCGTCCAGGTCTTACCATGAGTACTACGGTAATAGCTTATTCCCTATATGGGAAATTCGCTAAAATCATGCCAAAAACAAAATAAATATTTTAAAATACAAAATACAAAGCCATTACAACATCAATTAAACAATAAAAATTCAACAGTGTTAGAAATCTAAAACTAGTTCAAACTAAATACTATTTAAAATCTGTATATACAAAAATTACATATTGAGTTATATACATAAATGAGCAAAGTTACAATTAAAATATAGATAACAGCAATAAATAACATACTAACTGTGTATATTTTCTAAAAAGCTATCATGACTATTTACAAGTAAGCCATGAGGATACTTATAGACAGATTATTTTATAAACTGTCTTCTAATCTAAATAGTTTGCTAACTTTAGTTTAAAGCTGATTTGAAATCTCATTAGGTAAATAATTTGATGCAACAGAATAAGAATAATTAACTCTAAGAATAATGATAATAAACCGCCAAATGATCATTAATTAGACCATAACAAATTTTAGAGATCAGTGACTATTAATTAACATTAACTATAAAAAAACTTTTTTATATATCTAGTGTTAAAACAAATCATGTCTAAACGTGTCAGCATTTAATGGACTTTTGCCATTTTCAAGAATTTTTTTACAGATTCATTATAAACAATATATGTATTGTTGGCAAAATTGGTGTTAACTTGTTAATTTTAAAATTCATAGCTTACGGTTGTAATATAACACATTGTGAACATTAATTGTGTTATATGTTTTTTTACCTACTAATTATAATTCTTTTAGACTGAGTAGTTACAGAATATGTATATAATTTCGTCTGGTGCAATCTATTGCCTCCGATAATTGTTATTAAGATTGAAGAAATACTGTATTGAAAAACTTTTGAGATAAAAATTAATTTTAGCAGTAAGCCATACGAATACATGTAGTAGAAACAATTTAGGATTATAAAGTTAAAACCCTTTAGGAACTATGTCCATTATTTAAACAAATCCTTAACAAATCTAACTAAGAAGAATGTTTCTGTTTATAATTTCCACTCAATTATACAAAGACTTATATACATTTCCTGAGAGATAATTCATTTTGCATTTGATCAATTACTGTTTTAAGCTTACGATAAGCTTACAACATCCAATATCATTTATCTTAAATTCTAAATGCACAACAAACAATAATTAATTAGTTACCTATACCAAGTTGGTATCATTGAGTACCAAGTTTAATGTTGTGACTATTTACAAATTTTTACCTACAAGTCTGAAGTTGTTGCTTGTTTGGAGAATTATTTCCACACTAAAACAAGTTAAAAGATATTTTTTAAAGTATAACTTTAATATTAAACCAACGTAGTACTTTTATTATATAAAACATACTCAATTGGTTTAAAGTGATAAAATGACACTGTGTGCCTTTGGACTTAAAAGACTAAATTTCCAACAATATATCTCAACAATGAGTATATGATTTAAGAGTTATTTGGTGGATATTGCTTTATGAGATTAAGTAAATCTTTGAGTAGTTAAAGAAGGAATTATTGTTCCAACCATATTTATTTTGAAAAAAATAACCTCAATCTCTTTAAAAAACTGAAAACTATGACCATCCATTTCAGTAGAAAAATGACTAAAATCTTAGCAATGATTATATTCTAACTTGTTAAAATTATAATAAATTAAGATCATAATTATGTTAAACATTTATGTAAACAAACATTTAACAACTAAATGAACATTTAAATTACAAAGTCAATAAATAACATTCAATAAAACGAACAATATTGTTTAAAACCAACAATGATAAGTTATGATGACATTAAAATATGTAACAAATGATGTCTTGAGGCACCAAAAACATGGACTTGAAGTTGACCACTTCAGGCAGGAAAATAGGAGTGGATTTGAGCCGTTGATTAGATTTTATCGAGGCTGTTTTGAGAAGTGGATTCAACTTCTTCGACTTCAGGAATCACTGAATTTGCCTCTATTCTCTGTCTCTCCAAAATAAGCTCCTGGCGTACCTGGCAATACAAATAGGTTGTTTCAATTGCACGTTATTTTATCTGATTTGTACTAGTCTTCTAAAAATCTGTTTCTTTTTGGAGCCCTTTTGGTGTACTAGCCTAAGGACTTTACAATAGAAAAATACTATGGATGGATTAAGGGAAACCAAAATTAAACGTAAAGTAAATTGTGAGTTGGAACTTTTGGCCACAAAAGGTTTACCAACGACAGAGACCTGGGCAGTGTGGGATTAACTGTGCGCCATCAAAAAAAAACTAGTATACCCAGAATTGTGTAAATACAGAGTAGGCCTAAAAAAATATTTAGAGAACTGAAAGGGCTAATACTAGGTCCCATGCCATACGTCTGTGTTCTATTGTGATTTGTCAGTACACTCGGCCTCAGATGATTGTTTTAGAACTCTGCCAAATGCAAAAGACACTGTAAAAAACCCTTCAAACTTATTCTCCATAATTAAATGTGTCGAATTATAGGATGTAAAATTAGCCGAGTTTTACTAGTCAGTAAATCCAGAGAATCGTTTAAAACTCTAAAACTACACACCATGACAAATCGATCCGGTAGCGCATGCAAATCTAGATCAAACCGTCAGTCTCACCTGTGGTGTCAAGCGGATAATCCTGTTGTCCACCTTAGGTGTGAGTGTGCAAGAGTCGTGCTCCAGGTCGTCCAGTGATGCTCGTCGTGTGAGTCGTGGCTGTGCGTGAGAGTGAGCATGAGTGTGCGGAGGTGGAGACTCTATAGTAGACGCTCTTCGTAGCGGTGGCGGACCGTCCAGCTCGCTACCATCCAACATCTTCACCAAGCTGTGTCTACAAACAAAGAAACATAGTACATGCATTTTCATAATTTATAAACGCATCTGACTCTTCAATATTTATTTTGACAGTTGACTCAGTACTTGAATTTAGGTTGAGAACAGGGACAAGCGTAAGATAAATATTGATCAACATTGTTCTTAAAACTGGGTCCACAAATAATTCATCTGTCATGGGATAGAAACATAGAATCATTGTTGAAAGAATAAATTAGGCCAGTTACCAAAAGTGTTGTGTGAAAAACTAAAAGGTTTTGAAAACCTGTACAATTATACATTATTTTTAATTATATTATGAAAGCTAAAATAGGACATATGATATGGTCTGAACGTACAATAAGGAATAAGGAGGGAAATTAAAATATACAAAAATATGGAAGAAAAATGTATATGAGGTAAGTAAGACCCTTGAATGCCTAAAGAAGAGGTGGAAACATGAAGTGGCCAAAGACATTTTGGGAATGAAGATGGCATACATGATCAGAAGAGGTTGAGGCTGTTAGTTGGTGAGATCAAATAATTCCTGTCCTGGAGTATAAATACTACCTAAATAGCCATGGGAGTAAGTATATTACCCCAACTCTTTAGTACATTATTTGACTTTTACAAAACTTTAGCAGGATTGTTTGCATGTTACCTCCTAGATAGCGTGACAAGGCTCTGTCTATGTTTGCTATTGCGTTTCGACTTGCCAAGTCTCATTTTGATGGCTTCGAAGTGGTTCTGAATGGCTAGTCCCAGCTCAGGACATTCGTCTTCTTCCACCTACAAAAAAAAGTTAATAGCTTTATCTACTATTTTAGTTAAATACAGTATTTATTTACTACTATACATAAAAACAATTTAAGCATAAGCTGCACCCACAATCTGTTTGCATATTTACCTGAATATGGGTGAAGAATTGTAGAAAGGAGTGATATCATGTCTTTTTAGTTTCTTTTACAAGTTTTGGCACATGGTGGCATCATCAGCAAGTAGATGTGAAATTAAGCCGAGGGGTTTGTCACTACTACACTAGGTGTGTGTTACCATCGTAGAGATAGTTGTATATGTACTAACCACCTCATGAACAATTTAGAGCTGATCCTAAACAATATACCGTATCTTACATTCAATGCTGAAGAGTGCAGTGTACTTGAAAGTCATGAATAAAAAATAATAATGAACTATATATTCAAAATTACACTCTTCAGAAAAACACTCACCAGAACAGGAGCGTCTTTGAACACAGTGTATCCGTCGCAGCCCGAATGTAGGTAAGCCTTGGTAGCCAGTCTGTACTGCTGTGTGGGGACCAGGTACTCGTCCCCGATGTGTACAAACTGAGGGTCTACGCGGGAGCCGGGCGGCAACTCTGGGTCAAAGGCGAAACTCACCCCCGCAACCTGCGGAAACCTTCCCTCCAGCTTAGGATACTGCGACACACCGTTTTCCAAGGCATTGAGAATACCAGACCCTGTAATATTGATCAGTTTACTTTAAATATGAATTACATTGTTGGAGTACAACATCAATGTTTATAACAGCTTCATTGTCACCTCAAGAGACTGTTGTAATATAATTTTTTTCTCATTTCATAATTTTCTAAAACTTTCCCTTAACCCGTCGTAGGTGTCACATTGGACTTTTGTAGTCTTACCTGAAACGCTCAACACTACAATGGGGTCCCTCATGGGGATCACAGCTACTAGGTCTCCCAGTGTGAAGGGTCCCGCAGGATGAACCCTGTCCGACCGGAGAGTTCCGGAGTTGAGGAGCACCAGGTCAGCTCCTGTAGCAGCCAGGACGACGTCACAAACCCAGTTGCCGAGGTTGGTCTCTCCTCGACGGACACACTCGAACCTGCCTTCCAATGGTACAGAGAATGTGCCCAGAACTTCAGCTTGCTTCCCTTCCATGACATCTAAGGAAAATTAATTAAGAATAATTTACTTGGACATATCATAAATAATAATCTACAACAATAACAATACAGTTTTATTGTTAATTGCGTAGGATTATGAAGTTAATGGTTATTCCTAAGTTTTATAGTCACGGCAGCCAAATAGTCGCTTATTTATTTACCTGGCCGTTTTTCTTTGTGTACCTTGGTCATGCCGAAAATGGAAATTTTTGCTGCCTAATCCAGAGAAATTGGCAACAAATCAAAATTAGTCTCTTATTCCTTTGACTTAATTTTTGAAGATATTTCGCTATTTATATGCTGGGTAACTTATTAGTAAAAAAGTATACCCAGTTTTCACAATATTTTCCTGCATTTACTATGTACATCATTCATCAAATATCAATCTGCTGTTAAGAGAGAGATTCTTTCTGCAAAATGTCACTGAAATCTGTATGTTAAGCAGTTTACACTTTTATTTTACAAGGCAAATTATTGAAAATATGCAACAGCAAAGTTTTGTAAGAGAAGTGTTTAACTTAAGATTATGAATGTAAAATCATTTCTCATTAGGTTATACACTGTAGGAAGTTTTGCCGTAGTAGCCTTAAATAACTATACTTGCACTCTTTTTTTTCAAATCTACCTGAACTGAGCTGATTAGAACTTAGAAATTTCCCACACTTGCATTAATGGCGTTCAAGTTAAACATAACAGTAATCATTGAGAAAATATTGTAATAAATAAACATTGCACAAAGAGTTAGGTAGTATAATTACAAGAATTAAACATTGAGATTGGATGAATCACGATTCTAGAAATAATGGTAATATTTTTACTACTTCTCATTGAAATCAGGGCTAAAACTGTCACCAATCAAAGTATTGTTTTCCATGAGGAAGACAAAGATTTTCACTTTTTAGAGCTTATTTTTAAATAAACCTCAGATTATTTTCCAAACAGCTTGGTACCAACTCACTGTAGTATTTCTCCAACATCTTGTGCAGCGTCGGGTCCTCCTCAATGTCTGCGGTGACATTCAGTTCCTCCACTTCCACTTCCACCTCACCCGTTGTGCTGAACTTAAGGGTGATCTTGGACAGTTGGCGGAAGTCTGTCCCACTCTTGATTATATATCTCTCATTAACCTGCAAATGCATTACAATAGGTTAGAAAGTGGTACTCTATGCGTACAGGAAATCTGCATTATACATGATGGATATATTTTGCGTAATCGCTATGCCGAATCAGCGCATAGCAGGGAATATTATACAGACTTTGGGGAGAGGGTGGCTGGAGACAGGTGTCTGTTCTGTGTGTATAGACTTATTGTTTTTTTTTTTAATCACCTGCATATGCAAAACCGTATACATATTACTTGATTATCAGATCCCTTATACTCATACTACTTATTCTCTTTCATTTAAGTTATTCTCCGTTATGGGATTGAATAATAATATCCATTTTCACTTCTATTTCTACAGTTCCTTTTCTTTCATCTCACTTCTGTCTTGGCCACATAAATCTTCCCCTTCCCCTTCTTATTGCCTTTATTTTATGTATTTCTCTTGGTCTCCTTCTCTCTATCACCAACTACTCTTATATTTTTAGGAATTTGTAATTTTATGTTTTTTTTTTTCTCATATCCCCTTTATTACTTTATTAACATATTATTTTATTTCCTTCAAAAAGATTCTACTATGACAAAATCTAAGAAAATTTCACATTTTCACACTAAACAGTAAACAATAACTTATAAGTTATTAGTAGGGAGCTAACCTTTTATAGGTACACTTGTTGGATAAACCTCGCTCAAAATATATCGTGGGCAGTTCCTTAGAGCAAGTAATTAAATATTTATTGAATGCAGACATTAACTATTTATTTACTGTATTTTTAAACTAAATTCAAACAACAGAAAAGCTACAAACCTTTTTCACTTCGTACACGTGATCGTGACCACCCAGTATCAGATCGATTTCATTGCAGTTCTCTGCAAGTTTTATGTCGTTGGGTGTTCTCATATGTGTCAATGCAATAACGTAATCACAACCCTGTGAAAAAATGTATAGTTCAAATTAATTTTACAGCAATGTTCAGCATTTTACTAAGCTCTCATATAACTATTATTACCTTGTGCAAACCATCTTAGTGTCTTTGATATACATGTTATGAAATTTATAGAAATTCCACGATAACTACTTCTCCCTTACCCGGTCCTTGTAAAGAGTTTCTCCTTGAAAAAAGTGTGTATTGAATTTTTAACAGTTCAACTTTAAAAATATTCATCTAGGAGTGAGGGACACACGAGTGACCCAACCTCTAGGAAGACCCAAACTAGACCTTTAGCGGATGTGCTATCAATTGACCGAGCAGCAGACATGTAAAAGTGGAGGCAACTTAATAGCAAGGCCAAAAACCTTCGTAGGTTTTGAATAGAGGTAAGAGGTAAGGAATGAGGACTTTAAACACCATTTTACTATATATCCCTCCAATTATTCATGATTATTTCAAGCAAATTTTTCCATCTTAATTAAGAATTTGCTCAGATATTTCTTTAAACTGGAACTTTTAATATTATTTGATTTGTTACAATAATCTCACCTCTTCCTTGAGTTGCGCTCCCAGCTTCTTCCCGGCCTCTACAAAGTCCAGGAATGTCACTTCATCTGGATTGATGGTAGCTAGGGTGTCTAGCCATTCTTGCTCAACCAACCCAACCTGAGTAATACACCAAGTATCAAGTTAGTCTATTCACAAACAATCCAGATCATCATGTATTGTAATCTGTCAAAGAATACTATGTCTGACCATTCAAAACACATGACAATAGGAACTCAACTAAAAGATTATGAAGAAAATGTTAATACAGTAAAACCCCACTAATCTGACCTCGGCTAATTCGACTCCTCGCTTAATCCGACTGTGCCATCGGCCATAATGCAGCCATGTTTGCCATGGTTGTGTAGAGACCACCAATGTTTCCTGAAATTGTAGCAAAAATCTTGTTTATCAACCACAATCACAGAAACATCGTCTTTGTTTTCCGTCACGGAAACATTTAATGTCATCCACCACGATTGAGGCTAAATATTGAACGTCTCCCACAGTCACAGGAACATTATCGTCCTCTTCTGCGATCGTTTAAAAGTCTTCAACAAATCGCAAGGTCACAGAAAAATTCATCATATTCGGCGATAGCGGCAACATCCTGAACATCCCCTGCAGTTGTGAAGACACCATCACCTCCAGCAATCACGGTAACTTTATCGTTGTTGGGGTTCTATCTGCGGCAAACTCCTGAATATCTCCTGTGGTAATGGAAACATCACCCTCTTCTCCTGGTTGAAGTTTGATGGTTTCGATGGATCATATGTTAAGATTGATGGGTGGATGGATGGATTATGTAAAATTGACCTGTTTTATCAACCTAATCAAACAATAAGGAAACTGCATCTACAAATAAAGCACTACTAACCAGTCCAATTCGTTTTCCATTCCAATCTACGACATGTGTGATCTTGCCGTCCCCCAGAGGACGACCAGTCTCGTTGTCTATTACGTTTGACATTAGCCATGGAAAGTTTGTTTCGCTCACTCTCTCACTCAGAACTTCCAAACCGAAATCTGTAAAACAGCTGATTGGGTTAGTGATTCACTTATGTAAACTAATCTCTGATTTAGACTTATTACTAAATTAAATAAATAAACACTAAAAGTAACATGGCATCCAGTGACGGATTTACGTATCCGTAACATCCGTAACCCCTCTACTTTGACAGTCGCCTTCTTCTACCCCCTGCGTTGGAGAGATAGGTAACCGCCACTATTTTATGTGAGTGAGCGCTGCCGTAATTGCTCGATGCTACAGCAGTCTTGATGAGATTTCCCTTTACGTACCAACACATCATTTGTCACTTGACACCAACACACGCTACACAAAGTCATTTGAACTTTTTTTATTTTACTGCTCTAAGCATTTTTTCTTTTCTGCTATTGTGTTTCCAAAAACTGCCCAGTTTAAATGTACAATTTCAAACGTGTTCTAGGTTAATTTCCAATAGCAAAAAAGAAGAGATCATCTGAAACTTTTAAAAAAACACAGTGGATGCAACATTTCTGCAACAATTCTTCGAAGGACATAAAAGTAAACTAAAACTATACTCACCAAAGTCGTGGTTGCCGAAGACTGCACAGTGAGTTCCGCACTCATTCAATACGTGGGACATCTGCTCACCTTTGATGAAGGTACTTACTGTAACAAATGAAAATTGACTTTATAAACTTACATAGACAACTACTCACCATTTTAATGAAAAATATTAAAGTATTACTCGTTGACTCATTTGAAAGTTAATAGATTAATATGTACAAAATAACCAACTCTCATCATCCCCTGTTGGCAAAATATCATGGTCTGTAGTCTGATACTACAGTTATTACAAACTACTCATTTTGGTAACTGAAATTTATTTCATTTTTCTGCATTTTTAGAATCACTTTTCTTAATCTGGATGTAAAACAACAGAACATATCTATCATAAATATATTAGGTATAATATCAATTTTAACACGTTCGCTACTGCAATAGTACGAAATTTTCCATTCACATGGACCAGCGACGCACATATGGACGGCCGGTTTCTACCCATAGACTGCCGTCGCATATATGCGATGGCTAGTCACATTAAAATAGACTGCCGACGCATATTTGCGTCGGGGTTCTAATGTTATTAAAATGCTTATATCTTTGTAGTGGTCTGGCACTGAATTCCCTGCAGTGGTCTACAGAGATGTCTGACGCACAACTGCGTCGCTTGGTCTGTGGATATGATGATTGGTGACGTCATATAATAGTTGGAAAAACTGGTCTTTACTTTTCTGCATCACTGTATGTATGTATGCAGTATGTATGCTGCATTATCCTATGTAGCTTTTATATTTGTTCAGTTATAAACTGTTCTTGAATAATAAGTTTATTTCTTTACTTACTTTCACCTTAAAACACAAAAAAATGAACTGTCGCATATATGCGACGTTTAGTCTATTTCAAGAAAACTATGATAATTTTCACTATTGTCTTCGCTATAGACCGGGCGTCGCAAATATGCGACATTACAAAAGGTTATAAAAAATACAAATAAACAAGAATAATTTATTTACAAACACGATTGTAGCGTATTACAATGTAAATGATCACTGTTTTACAGGTTTTCGCCCGTGGTCTGTGTGTACTGTTATCCAAGTGACAGTCGGTCTATGTGTAAGATTCAAATGTATACCTCGGTCTGTGGCAATGACCGCGGCGTCGCATATATGCAACGCTCAGTAGCGAACGTGTTAAAATATGTACAGTATACCCAAATACATTTTAACATAGTACTTACGCATGCTTGGTGAGAATATATCTCCGCTGAACAGTACAAGCGGTTGTAAGTGAGAAAAACTTTTCACAAGAGTACAAAACCTAAAACAAAAAAGAATAATAGGCCTACGGTAGATTATTTTCTAATATCTTACATAAAACCCATGGGACAAAAGGTTTATTCTTCTCAATTTGCTCCTACTGTGTTTCTTGTGGAGCTTTAAGAATTTTAACATTGACTGTGATATTGAAATAGGCGTTTAATTTTTTTTTAAGTTTAAGGTCCATGATTTATAACCATTGCTGAGTAATAATGTTACTGTCAATGATTCTTTTAGTAGCGAACATGGAGTAAAATATAGGTGTGAGAAAAACTCAGATAACTATTGGTTACGCTCCTAGATTTTTACACAAGTTCCAAATAAAACAGAACTCTGAACAAAATTGTTCAACTTATTTTTAAATTTACAAAACATACTTTTAAATGTTAAAAAACATAAATGTTTATTTTGACCTCATTCTATTATGAAATTTGTTCTATCTTCCAATGGCATTTAAAGAAAAACACTATTCTTACCTAGCAGCCCCACCTACAGGCTCCTCAGATCTTGACTCTATGTTGTAGACATCGTTGTAATGAAGTATTGTTACAGTAGCCGCCATGTTGGATCCAGACAGGTTACTAAGCGTGCGTCTTCCTGCCTGCCTTACTTCCAGAGACGCCTGTAAAGACAAAGTAATATTAATTTGTTTATCATAAAAAGATTAGTTTTTCTATTTAAATTGAAATTCAGTCTTGAGATATAATTGTGAAAAGTTTATAGTACTCACTGGTTTAATGAAAGAAAGAATGAATCATGTTTTATTTGTCAATAATTGTAAATAGATACATAAGTACGTTATTGGTCTATGTGAAATGTTGACTGTTGATGATCATCAATCTAAAGTTTTAACAAAGCGCTGTAATGAATTCTTAGGTAAAGTAAAATTTTAATTGTATAAAAATCATATATTTGTCAATACAGTAGACCTCACACTTAACCGACGGATTATCTGCCCTCGCTTGTAAATATTACACTTTGTTTCAACCGACTTTGTTTTGAGAGCAGTTCGGTTTAAGCGCTGCTTTCTAAGCTCAGCTTTTCCGCTCCCATGCTCGGTGATGGGAACAATATGAAAAACTCTACAGGTTGTTACAGGCTAAGGCTATAGATTAACATAGCCTAAATAAATACTTAAATAAACATAGTCTTGTAACAATATGGTTGCTGGCAACTTTAATTTCGTAAATAAATTCTGTACTGTATTATACCATAGCCCAAGGGAGTATGTTTAATCTATCGTTATACTGTACCATGGATTTGGAAAACACCAACTAATATTACTAAACGTATTAAAATAAGAATTTTAAACACTTGCCTACGACTAAACTTATTCCACTGAAAGTATTTTACTTTACTGTGTTTTGGGTTTATTTGTGACTTTTCTATTGTCAATAACTACCGTACCGTTAACTATGCTTTTTACTTAATAAAGGGAGGAGATAAGTGTAGTTTATTTTGTAGTGTACACTATGCAACGCACAACTTCAGAATAATGATTATATAATTCCAAATTAAAAGCACATATTTTTTTTAACTTTTTAGTGATTGCCCGTTTCAATTCAACCGACCTTTGAATCATCCGACCTAGGTCCGGTTCCGTTAGGGTCGGTTAAGAAGGGATCTACTGTAGTAAATTTTATCCACACATGCTTAAAAAAAATAAACACATGTAGAGAAGATAAACAGGTTAAGATGTATGAACATGGTCCAAATAGATTTTATGTAAACTACCAGGATTATATGATAGGTTAAAGACTCCCTTGGTCAATTTGTCACGCTTACGGATTAGCTGAAGACAATTTTATTGTTAGTTTCATCCGGTGGCGCTAGGATCATGTTTTGTTTACAATTTGTTTCTTATTTCAGTAAGGTATTTAAAACCTCTTTTAGCCAAACAAAACAATCTAATCATAAACAATACCTCATCCCCAAAGTTATATAACCAAACAGTGAACCACAAATCATAACATAACCCTAAAATAATAGAAACAAAATATTGTCGACACTACTGCCCAGTTTCACCAATATGAACTAGACAAGAAAAACATGCTTAAGATTTTGTAATGGGATGAGTCTACTTGTGTAGGTTAGTGTATGATTCTATACAACACAACAGCACGGAATTGGTTGTGATCTACTATACAAATATATCTATACAACTGTCTTTACCAGTACTTTTTAAATTTTTTGAAAATGTCCAATACTTTATTGAAATTTTGCCTGGATTTATCATGATAGTGCTCACAAATAAAGCGAGGGAAATACCTTTAAATCCCAAAATACACAACTGAAATTATGTTTTCTTGTATCTATGTTTTGGAAAAAAACTAAGATCACAAGATCCCTGTTAATATCAACAAAAATGAACATAAAATTACCTGTAAGTATCCAAAAAGAAATGAAAACTCTTTACGCCACTAGAGTTTTTAAATAATCCTTTACATAACACTATTTGTGAATGACCCATAAAAACAACAAAAGATCCAAGTATAATCAACTTACATAAGCGCTCACTGTATTACTTCCAGACAACCATTTGATAATTAACATTGACATTGTAGATTGGTGATTCAAAAGACATTTTTCTAACTTCATTTTGACTCTAAAGATAGTTTTCAACATTGACAACGACTTTACTGAATTGAAATTCTGATGATCAGTACACTGTGTAATATTTAAATTTAAGAGAACTTTATATATTTTGATTGAAAACAGACACGAAAATGCAACTTGTCCACTCTGTTAACTCGGTCTTTGTATTTATTTACACTATCAGTGACATACTAATCTACTAAGGTCATTGAGTGAAGCTTGCTAAACCATTTAACATGGCATTGAACTCAAACTGTATGAAATCAATTTATATCTTAACAATTATTTTATTGCCCTCAGAATGATGCATATAATTGCATCATATACCATAAGGATTGTATATTGTACCATAAGGATGGAAACATAAAGATAATAATAATAGCTTACTTATAGGGATTTAATATATCTGATAAAAATAAATTAATCACTATTAAATTATTTAGAAGGGTTAAACTAAAGATTCTTACTCACATGGTTTTTTTTTTTTTTTGTTACTAGGCCTAGTAATAATATCATTTTTATTGAAATATACTGACTGAGAGTCAATACATTCTGTGTTTGTGATTTTTTGGAGGGATGGTTTTTGTTGAATCGGTATGTGAGTAGTACAATCAAAGTTTTTAATGTATATAGGCCTATAATTGAGCTATTACCATAATTTAAATTTGATTTATTCATGTTCTACACAAATTGGTCCGAATGATGACAGTTGTTGTGAGAGTGATTATATTAGTACACTGAAAGAGTTATGGAAAAACCCAAGAATATTGTTAAACCTACTGAAGGCGAACGGAAAAATTAAAAAAAGTTTTAGCTGTTAGAACTTTAAGCAAAAGAATTATTATTTTTAATATGATAAATGTAGGAAAAACGTACGGTAATGTAAGTAAGTTGGGCGCAAAATATCCATGCTGCACTTGAGAAACTATTCCACATGTTATATAAAATTGCAGCTGAGATTCACTTTGCACACTACATATTGCACTATTGCAAATAATCAACAATGATATAGAGCTCTAAATCAACTAAATCTATAGTAACACTACCCATTGTAACTAACGAGGTATTAATAAAACATCATACAAAAATGTCTCAAATGCAACTATATCCTAAGTCTAAATGGTGTGTACCAGTCCAGTATGTAACAGGCAATTTGTTTTGCATTGTACGACGATGTCCACAATTAGTGTTATTGAATATGTGCGACGCTATTGTGTCGGTAAGCACATAGCTTGGCACAGTTTACCGTAACCAACCGGCACAGTCAGAGGAAATATATAAATATTATACCGTACAGTGTATGATTTCAAAATGAAAGTGTATAAGACAAAAGTAAGATCCTTGAGGATGCCACACCTGATGAAAAATGTGCACAAGATCACAAATTTACTCACTTTAGAACTCTGGCAAAAAGAATAATTTATTTCAATACTGTACAGTTCTTAAAACTGGGAAATACAATGAATTTTTAATTTATATTCCTAAATTTAAACTAGGAAGAGGGAACGTTTAAAAATTAATGATATTCTCATAAAAATTAGCCTACTTTTTTTATAGGTACAATAAGAACCTATAGATAGGGAATCTAGTTAATTTAGAACTAAAAAATTGTATTCAAGCTTTGAAAACGTAAAGGTACCAGGCCTAAGTCTAGCACGTACCAAAAACTTCTGAATGAACAGGTGTGATGTTTGCAGCCAGTCCCTAGGAGAAGTGCCAAATACAACTCTACGACCCATCAATTTAAGGCGTCTATTGTAACTTATGATTATTTAATGGCCAATAATGTATTTGATTACTTGAATCAACTCACACTCAGGGGCTTTTACATGTAATCAATCTAGCTTGGTTTTAAATGTGAAAATCCCACTATACAGTATTAATAGATAATCAAATGTATTTCCGATACAAAGTCTAGATACTAACAGTACGATCCCAATGACTCGAACCTTGATATCTCTAATCCCCTTGAAATTCCAGTAAATTACAATGCTAAAAGTACCTTTACAAGTCAAAGGTTTAAAATATTTAACTTTAACAAGTGAACGGTATGTAAAACATTGAAAGGCGACGAAATAAAGAAAAGTGAATAAGTAGTTGATGACTTGTTAAAAAAGTCGAAATTGCAAGGGTATGTGGAATTCTGTCTAAAATCATAAACAGACGTGGGCATTAGCAGACGCAAGTCAACAAATTTGTAAAGTTCTGATGATTTCGTTGATATCTTGGTTTTTACGGTGGAAAAAATTAAGAGTCTCATTTATTCTAAATCACCTTTGCTACATATTAAACACTGTACTATTATTTTTGCATAGTACATTTTTAATCTTGCTGTAAAAAATGTATACATAGAAATAGATTGAGCCTAAATTATAAAGGTTTTGCATGTAAATTCGAGTTATGAAGGTCCAGACGTAACATCATTGTCAGAATTCAATACCCGTGTCAAAAATTTGTTGTGTACAATTCCTTGGTGACTCAAACCTTTCTCACTCAAAAAAACTCAATAACTAAACATGGCTGCCCTTTCCCCTTCAGTTTTTTTTTTTTTTTTTTTATAATTTTTTTATCAAATCAGGCAAGGATCACACAGGATCTGTCAATTCTGCTGAGTAAAATAATCCCTAAATTGTAATTGAACCATTTTATGTAGCCTATTTTTTTTTACAAACAATACCTATGTTCAGATTATTGTTCTCTATAAAATTGTTTCTACAAAGTATTGAAGTTCAGTGATTTAATCAGTCAGTGACATAGTGTTTTTACGACACTCGTCCACTTGACAAATCCTAGCTTACAAATCATTCCAACTATATTTCTGGTACTTACCAAACTTCACAACAACTAATATTTGATACTCATAAATGCACAAACACTCAGAAAACACACAAGGTGTTTGGCAAATGTAAACAAAAAGTGAAAGAATGTAATAGTGATAAGAGTCAATTATCTATAGAAGTTATCAACTATGCAGCTCGGGCAAAATAGAAAATATTCAACCAGTTACACCAGCCCCAAAATACAGCAAAGCAAACTATAAAACCAATGTGGATAGTGCAGACAACAGGTATTAGCTAGGTGAAAATAATTGTACATAAATTAAAGGATGAAACATAAACACAATGTTCAATACTTATGAGGAGATAATAACATGTTGACATGTATTATGTGACTCATGTCATAACTATTTTGACTAATAAAAACTTAATTTGTGATCCAGGCCTAGGTGGTGAAATTGGTGGTTTATTTCAATATAAGAATAAGTACGAGGAGAACACTGGTACTCGCCAACAAGTAGGCTAGTTAATGTAGGTAATGAACATCACTTAGATTCATACTGTATAAGAAAACATTTACCATTACATTCAATATTCCAAGTTAAAGGTCAATAGGCTATTTGATTTCTGTTTAAAAAAAAACTTTTTAGTGCTCACTTGAAACATTATGTAATACGGTATAAGCATTGACTATTGTACATACTGAAGTAGAAATCCCATCTATGGACCAGCTGTCTAAGATTTTTTATTAAATACCCCCGCCGCAGCGAACCTGCCGTATAAGCAAATTTCCATTTGTCTAAATTGATTTTCACTTAAATCTATTAAAATAACATTAGGTTTAACAAATAAGTTACTTAGGTTTGCTGCTACAAGGAGACTAATGAAGTGTGTTTTTTTTTTAGTAAAATAATAATAGCTTAGTATAAAGTAAACAAATTTGCCAGGTTTGATAAAAATATATCCATAAACAAGCAAATTACAACATTTTACAATTATTCTCCATAAGAATAACATGGGAATTTTAAAATATAATCGTATATATAATAATAAAATATATTAAAATAACCCTACAAAAAACACTTTGATATACTATTGTACTTCTTCTTTTAAACTCTTTAAAAGGTCTAGAAATTGGTAAATTTTGTGCTTTGAGGGTCAAAAATTAGAAAACCCAATTTTTACCCCATAGAACGGGGTAAACCCAATCCATAGTCTGATCATTCTGGTTCGTGTACTCATTCAAGTTTATCTCGCCTCACACCTTTAAACCAAATTTAATCAAAATCGGAAAAAAATTACTCTCAAGTTCTCGGATACACATATATATAAATAAAAATTTGAACGAATGGTGTTTTTGGTCTCTGGGGACATCAAAATAAAAAAGTAAATCGGTCCTGGTCCTAGGTCTTACAGTGCCACCTAGGGTAATAGCTACTTCCCAATACGGAAATTCGCTAAAAAGAACATAGGCTAGTTGTGTGAGCCAGTCATAGATTGTGATAGTGTCTATCCGGTAACTTATTTGTGGCTACTGAAATGATTCATGGGTTATAATAGTTGTTGTAGCTCACTATGAGTCGTTCCTTCTACATCAGTTTGATTTGGTAAAAAAGTTTGTGTATTTATGGCACAATCTGCCGGTGGTTCACATCAACAACAACGATTTTGATTCAAAAACTAGTGACAACCAGGGGATAGAATGCCTAGTTAATAGTCAAAGTTATAAGTTACCAAATTACCAAATAAAATATAGTAGTTAAGTGTATCTGTAGGTTTATATTGTTTAATATTTATTGATGTAAGATTCTTTAATACTTAGAACTTAAAAGGTTGTAGCCTATTTGAGGAGTAAAGTGTTGGATTTATTTTGAGTGGGTTCCCGGACCAGATTTCACAAGGATTGGGTAACCCCCTTCCCTAAATCCAATACTAGGCTTCTAGCCTAACAGAAATAAAATTTAGTGAAAAGCTATCATAACTCATTCCCAACAATGACTTAATAAATTTACTTAACTTAAAACAAGGAATGAATAGCTGATGATTAAGTTAAACAGTTCAATTTAAGCTAAGTCACAAAAAGTCTTTTTCCAATTTAGCTAAATAAAACAATAACTTATTGTTATACCATAACAAATGGGTTGTAAAAACCCTCTTTAACATGTTACTAAGCAGAATCACTTCATAAGAGTACCTACCTTAACAAAGAGGTAAATTAAAATGAATTTCAATGTTGCGATATGTATCTAGCTAATTGTGGATGTGCAAATTAAACAAAGACTAACCAAGTAAATCTGTGATATGAAACAAAAACAACAATTACACAAAAGTAATCTTTATACATCCATAAAAAATAGCCTAGGCCTAACCTGTTTCAGCCATCCGACTACAGATCTCACACCAGAAGAAACTTCCCCAGGGACTTCAAATGAGGAGGATTCAACTAAATCTGTCCATTTTGAACGAAGCGCAGCCTGAGCAGCAAAACTAGCCATTATTGACTAGTTCTAATATTTGCTAACTGTGGTGTTATCTTTAAAGCTTTTGTAAGATGTTTCCAAGAAGCTAATTTTTTAGTGTGTTAGTAACCTGCCAAAAAAGTTAAAAATTAGTAAATATTAGATGATATTTTTTAATTGTTTCATTATGATAATAATTACTGCAAGTCATGTATTAAAATGCTTTGATAATTAATTATCCCTAGCTTTGGTTGAAACAGTGTACATCTATTTTCTTTTCATTGTTAGGCCTACACTGTAACAAAAAAATATTAAATGAATGATTGTTAAATGTAATTATCATATGGTGCATAGCATAATAAGTAGCTTATGTATGTAAATTTATATGATGTATGTTGGGCCTTGTTGCCTTTACAATGTAAAATTAATCGAGAAATGATTTTATACAAAGATAATGGTGAGATACAAGCAATGTAACACAGCTAGAAGCTTATTGATTGTTTGAAGCAGCATCCAATAACCATTCAGAGAACCATACCATCCATACCCAATGGTTAATAAGCTTGAAGAGTGGTTCCACTTCAACATTTTTATTTCTATATAAAATAGGCAAACACATTAGCCTACAGTAACATTTAAAAAAAAAATATGAAAATTTATGAATGAAAATTGACCAATGTGCTGGAACTATCACTAAAACTTATTGGCATTTTATTTATTTCAGACATAAGTTAACTTATTAATGTTTGATTTAGTGAAACTCATATTCTGTAATGTTGCTCCAGGATTTTACAAGACTACGGCAGCTCAATAATGGATATAATGGCTGTAATACATAATATTGTATGTATGTAAAATGTAAAATACACATCTGTAACAATTGTACCTAACCCCTTTTTTCTATCAATGGCTGTCTGATACTTCAATCATCAGATGTTTTTCTTCAGATTTCTTAAGACATGAAAATTTATTTATTCTATTTGTCTATGCTATTAGTAACTTAAATATGTCAACTGCAAGTTACCTTTCTTGTATAGCCTTAAATAAATGTATACTATGTAATCCGCTAAAGGCTATTTCGTTCATATTACAGTCTCTTTGCTGCACAAAATGAACTTAATTATGTATTATGTCAAGTTAAATTGAGATTCAACTTAACTTAGGCCTAGATATTATCGTTGACTATTGGATACAGAAATGTTCTTGCATTATTATTAGATCCTAGGGTCTAACCTACAAGGTAAGATTGCATGAATATGTTAAAATTACAAATTACAGCTAGTGTTGAAGCATAGGCTACATTGACTTACAATGTTTAATCATGAAGGTCCCAGCTATACACAGCTATGTATTTGAGGTTGTAGAAATATGTTTTGTTGGCTACAATAGTAACTTAGTTTGGTCTGAGTTAAATAAGATACATTGGGTTTGAGTTACGAGGATGTTTATTTATTAAAATGTAATACATGTTAAAATTAAATTATAATATTAAAAGCATAACTTAAGTAAAAGTAAATGATTATGGATTGACCTACCTCAAGATCTCTAAGGTTATTTTATGAATATGTTTGACAAGCAATCTTAATGAATGAATGAATAAGTTAGTGGTGTAACTGTTTTACTAGCAATAATTATTGTTAACAGCGTTGAAGCAGTATTTTTACAAAATGGAAACTTATAAATAGGCCTTATTGTGTCCTAGATAACCTGAAAGCGTCCTACTTTCGAAGGACAACTACAATAATATTGTCCCATTCGGGCTTACTCACCTTTGAGATTACTTAATGACAATAAAAAAACATCAGGTGGTGATGGAAATTAATATCGCGTTTCGTACTTCTTTTAAAAATGTATTTGGTGTTTAAAAACGACGGATCCTTTATTCGTCAGTGGAAGACATCAATAAAAGTTTTGAATTTAATGGCCGCGATTTGTGTATTAAATTTACAAACACAAACACCATCACTGACAAACTAAATTTCGTATCGTAGTCGATTCGATTCGTACTGAATAAAAATGTCGTCTGCTGCATATCATAGAGGAAAGAAATTACTTTAAAAACCTATCATATGTATGAAAAGCTCTGTTACATTATTAACAACGAATTCATATGAACCCCTAAATTTGACCGTTGACTAAAGGAGTATATTTTATCTACTGTATGATAACACTTTGAAATTTGTATAAATAAAATGAATTTGTATTAATAGTGTAGGCCAATATGTTGAATTAGGAGATATTATTAAATAAATATAATTGATAGCTTCAAATAAACTAAATGTATCGATTTTTGAGAAAAAACTTTTGAAAGCTATTTTTTGCCTTCATTATCATGGTAACTGTGATGTAAGCTAGTACAAAGGTACACAAAGCTGTACACAAAAGGCACATCTCAGAAATAAGTGTTCATGTATTTCGATGATTTTAGAACTAAACTCTAAAGACACGGAGCACGATGAACTGACATTTATTTCCAATGGGTTTTTGTAATTGTAGCCATTAAATCGTGGATTTATTTAATAAGCTTCAAGGGGGATTACAGCCGTTGTAATAGTAATGTCATCAAGCTTTTTAAATCTATGATAGAATCTGCTTACAAACTTGTTGCCAGTACCTGTACTAGCAGTAGGAAGTAGGACGGCGGGAAAACTTTTTTGCTGTTGTAAGTAGCAGCACTAGCAGACTAACCGTATTGCCTGCCTCTGATGTTCCTGTTGTCTTGTAATTTTGTAAAGGTTCTAGCCTAAAATTCTCTAACAGTTTGAGTTTATGTTTATATTTAATTTAAGTTACTAAAGCTTATGTAGTGATCAGTTGTCTTTGTATTGCCTTAAAGTATATTGTTATAATTATTTACTGTGGTCATCTACACAATGGCTGAAAAACTTGAAGATTTAAACTTGCCTATCTCTGTAATAGCTCGTCTTATCAAAGATGCATTGCCTGATGGAACTATTGTGTCCAAAGAAGCAAGATCAGCAATCGCAAAAGCAGCGTCAGTTTTTGTGTTATATTTGACGTCATCTTCAAATAATGTTGCTTCCAAAAATAAGAAGAAGACAATTAGTGGTGAAGATGTGTTTCAAGCGATACTTGATACTGAATTTGAAATGTTTGAGGAACCTCTGAGAGAGTCTTATGAAGGTTGGTAAGCCTAGCCATAAGAAAGAACTTGTTTAAGATTCATCATACATTGCACAGGGAAATAAGATACAGAGGAAACATTCAATGGTAGGCAGGGCCGCCCTGAGGGTAATAGACGCCCAGGGCGAGATTTAAATTTTCGCCCCTCCCCAAAAAAGGTAACTTATTTGGGGGGTTTGCGTCAACCGTCATTAGACCCAACATCCGATATATCGATATCGAACGTTTTGCATAGTATTCTTTATAAATGTAACAACTAAACTGAACTAAATTACTAAAAACATTGAATCTACGACCATAGATAAAACATATAAAACATACTATGTTTTATCTATGCTACGACTGACAACGGACATCACAAAACGACTATGAGTTGACGTCAGTTTGTTGAGCTTTGAGGTTAGAAACAAGCAAGTGTATGTGGGGCGTCGCGAATACGCAGTGAGTGTCTTGGACTCACAGTATTGCCAATTTTTAAGTCACATGCCAGACGTAAAAGTAGTAATAGTACGAGTTGTATATTAAATCTCCTTCTTTTCCGGACACCTTTTGACCGGACATCGGTTTAACCGGACTACACTCGGTAGAAGTGACATCTCTTTATCAGTATAATTTTTATCAGTACATTGGGTTAACCGGACTAGGTCGGCAGGAAGTCGACGGTACTGAAACGACTGTTCTCGTGGGAAAGTTTTGAGACCAGTGATTACGTGTCTAAATACAATGCTCTCTTAATTTTAAGTCAATTACTGTATAGAGTATGCAATCAAACGGTCCGTTTTAACGAGATTTTGGGGACGTCGGTTTAACCGGAAAAACTGTTATCCGGACTGGCCTCGGTCCCGAGGAGTCTGGATAAGAGGGAGTCTACTGTACTTTGTAACAGGGTCGAGTGACTGAATTCTTAAGAGTTATGAGTCTTGTTGTAAATATAACTTACATCAGGTCAAACCGTTTCAGGCTCAAAAAGTGGTCCTGGATAATTAATATGGATAGGAAAGGCAGGCTGACAATTTTAACTCAACTTAACATCACCCCAATTAAAACATTTGATTGACTTTTTCTTGGGTCTTCCCCCAAACTTAAATAGGCCTAACAAAATAATATGAATTTCTATAAACAAGTGAATCTAGCCTATAATAGGGTTTCTATGCTGCGGGGAAGGGGGAGGGGGGGGAAATTCTGGGTTGTACAAGTTGGTAAATTCCGAGTCGTGTGACACTTTTTTTTATGATTTTATATTGCTCTGATTATATTCACAGCCGTATAAAGATCATTAGCCCTTCCCGGACTATAGGCGGATATAGGGCCTATCCGCTAGCATTTTGTGCAAATCGGACGGTAGGTGGATTTTGTGCATATCGGACGGTAGGTGGATATATATCTGCTATCTATTTTGGTACTTTCCTGTTAAAGGGAACATTCATTATTATCGATGATTTCTTTTTGATATACCTTGTCTACCGGTATCAATATTTCATTTTTTTATCCCATAAATCGATATTGACAAATTAATATATATCAGTTGACAACTACGATAAATAAATATTGTTCAGTATCAACAAACATTAAAAAATATACCTATTGGAATGAAACCGTTCTAAACTAACCTAACTAACCAAACTTGCTGTAAAATTTCAAAATTCCGTTTGATAACCTATTTCAATTCCCACATGCCTTTCATGTTATCAAATGGAATTTTGAAACGGAAACTTAGCCTGCAGCAAGTTTGGTTAGTTATATTAGGTTAGTTCAGAATAGTTTTATTTCTTAATCCATATAGGCTAGGCAGTTCTCAATTCGTAGTTTAAATACTATAACAGAAGGAATATGGATCGTAAAGGAAAACAAAAATATCAATATATCGAAAAGAAATCATCGATGATTACGAATGTTCCCTTTAACAGGAAGGTACCTCTATTTTGGCTCTGCTGGCGGTAGATATATCTGCCGATTATTACGACATCTATTGTTATAGTAGTTGATTATCTATAACAACATTAATTTTTGTAATAAAATCCTTTTGTTCAATTATATCTTTAACTGATGTACGAGAAATGTTTTTCTTGAAAAAAATAAATTTAAGTTTATAGGCTATAAAAAATGTTTAAATGTAACAAAAGAAATTAAAAAATATAAAAAAAGATAAAAAAATAATTTTAGACATAAGTGTTGCATACAGGGTGATTGATATAAGTGTGCCAGCCGTTTTATTCCAAAACTATAAGAGATATCAAAAAAAGTTAAATGGTAAGTGCCTTGGATTTTTTATTTAAAAAATTGCAGTCAAGTCAAAAAAACTATTTTAGCCGCCATTTTTCCAATATGGCCACCAACTTTGATTTTTCTTACGGAACACCCTGTATTTTATGATGTATTCTGGTAGAAAAAGTAATTTTAAGACGATTTTATTCTTGTGATTTTTTTCATAAACCTAACCGTTTTAAAGATAATAATGGTTTAAGTTTTGAAATTTCTGCATGAGAAAGAGTTTCGATAAAGGCCTAATCAAGCATGCCAGCTGTTTTGCTCGAAAACCATTCAATATTTCACAACTTAAACCATTATTATCTTTGAAACGGTTAGGTTTTTGAAAAAAATCACAAGAATAAAATCGTCTCTACCAGAATACATCATAAAATACAGGGTGTTCCGTAAGAAAAATCAAAGTTGGCGGCCATATTGGAAAAATGGCGGCTAAAATAATTTTTTGACTTGACTGCAATTTTTCAAATAAAAAAATCCAAGGCACTTACCATTTAACTTTTTTTGATATCTCTTATAGTTTTTGAATAAAACGGCTGGCACACTTATATCAATCACCCTGTATAGGTAAACTATTTTCAACATTCTATAAATTACTAGCTGTTAATCGTAGGCGGTATTTAAAATTCCGCTTCCCCTCCGCCATTATTATACTTACTCTTTCTGGGAATCCAGTTGTTGTAAGTACATTATGTAGTGATGTAATAGCCTACTGTAATTTCCTTTAAAAGCCACACTACACTGTTTTAACAAACTTCCGACACAAGGACTTAGTCCAGAAAACAGCTGGTTGCCGTGGAGCTTAATCAAATGGTGTTTCATTACGTACTACTGTACTGTAATGTATTTTACCGGACACCAGCTGATTATATTTGGCAATGAGTGGCTACAAACAAAAACGTAACCTCTCTTAGAGGTTATGAGTAGGCTAGTGTTTGTTAGTCCTTGAGTTGGTGGGAATATGTAAGGATTTGTACAGGTTTTTTATTGTCAAGTTAGCGAGTAGTATGGCGTAAAATATGGTACTTACGTATTAAACGGAGGCCACATTTTGTCAGCGCGCTGCAGCGGTTATGTTAGGTTGGGTTATCGTAAATATTATGTGTGTAGGACTTTCCTCGCTTCGTTATGAATCGAACGATACCAGACGAGTTATACTTTCTATTATGATAACCCAACCTAACATAACCGCCGCAGCGCGCTGACAAAATGTGGCCTCCGTTTAATACGTAAGTACCTAAAATATTGTATGTCACTCGTCCAAAATGTGTTTACCGGACTCCTATATGGTAATCTCACACTTGATTTTGTCTTACATGGGAACGACCAGACTCGTCCTGTAAACACCTATTTTCAGGACTATTAACGTAAAATACGATAACTTCTTCTTATAAAATAGTAGGCCTACAGATCTCTCGATTAGTTGCCCCTTTAACCTTCTACTTCTGTAAGGAAAGTTACTGTAGGCTAGTTCTTTTTTATCAACAATTTATTACACGCATTCCTTTCAACTGTTGTGTTCCAAAAATGGGTGTAGGTAAACTCCATGCATGCATCAAATGAAGGTCTCATGTCTCATCTAATTTCTGTTGTGATGCATCTTAACTTAACGAAATAGTCGGGCAAAAACTATTAGCTTATAAGCTATTCAAAAGAGTTTTAAATCACATCATGTCTGACAAATTGCTATTTGGTCTTAGCCCCAAAGTGGCTAAGTTCAGAAAAGTATTAGTGAGGAATTAAAGTGTAAGCCTAATCTGTTTTGTCTCAAATTTTGAAAAATGTTATCAACTCAAATTATTTAGCCTAACAAAAATTCTTGCTTCAACAGGTAGACATATATTTGTCAGAAATAAATTATTATTCATCAATTGAAAATTCGAATGTAATCAGATACTATTCATTTATTGTAAGTGACATTTGATAATGTGACTAACGGGTTTTTATTTTTTTAGAATTTAAGAAATCACAGAGGATGAAGAAGGATGCCGCTGCTAAAAAGAGGCAATCAAAGGAAATAAAAAAGGCACAAGACGAAGATGTTACAATGGAAGAAGATGAAGCAAAGGATGAAAAAGAAACTGAAGAAGGAGATTAAACCAGTATCCTAACTAATTTAATTTTGATATTTTAATATTAAGCTGAAAAGTATTTAAACATTTATAATAAAACATAAAACCAAGTATATTGTATTTTTATTGGTTCTCAAGTTCTTTTATACAATTTGGTGTAGGGCCTATGACAGTTTTAACAGAAAATTGTTTAAAGTCTATCCAGCTTACCGGTACTCTAGTTCTTAATTTTTCAGGTAAGCTCGTTTGAAATAAAATCAACTTTATTCAAGAGCGTTTGTCATTAAAACATTCATAGGGAATCAATGCAAACTTTTGAGTAAACCTATGTCAAATAAATATTCTTTAGCTAACAGTACAATAGAGTTTTGCCTAGATTAACTCTTATTTTTGCGAGATTGAGTTAACACAAATGGCTATGACTGCTCCTGGGTTGACTACTACTGAAGTATTGTCATTGTAGTGGACTATCAAAACTGCCCTTGGCCAGGAGACAGCATGGTAGATTGGTGGTTTGATTCCAACTCAATCAGGTCTGGGGGAGCCCACCTGTCAAGGTGGCTTATCCAAAAATATACAGTGGATGGTTTAGGTGGAATTTGACAGTAAGGGTGGATTCTCAGTGGATTGTACAGGGTGAGGCAGTGAGAGCACCCCAATTTTCTTTCGTTGTCACGCTATAAGTAAAGCAACAATGAATGAACAGCTGAGCTTATAACATCAATTAAACTATGCCATTTTAGTAACCATTATGCTTGAGGCTATTAACACTGAGATTTTGATGTGGAAACCTAAATAGTGATTCTTGTGCAAAAACCCAAAGATTGGTTGGACCACATTCCATCCTTGGTCAACACGGCACTGTTCCAGATTGGAAAACAATGGTGGACTGGGTAAAATTATTTAGGATAACAGCTTAAACCTTAAAAATAATCGGTGGGTTTTGCAATACTCTTTGTACACCAGCAAATGTTGAAAGAGTGCTAGTCGCAGTAACTCGAAGTCCATAGAGATTTGTCTGGAAGCTTTTGTTTTTGAAAGCTTTACGTTGGCTCTTTTTTTTGGAGAGGGGGGGGGGGTTATTCTGATAAGCTACTTGAAGTTCTAGGCTTTTAAAAGTCGCTCCTTAGATTTGCTTGAACCGAAGCTAAGAATTGTCCAAAAACTAAAGTGATTCCTGAATAAATGCTGGAGGAGTATTTGATGGCGTTTTCAAGTGTATTAAAAGGAATGTCAAGTAGGACAAGGAAGTCACTTGCAGGATTTTTTTTTCAAGAAATGGAAAAAATGACTATGTCAAGTTAAAATGGCAAAAGATAAGCGGTTTTGATATGCTATTTATATCGATAGGGTGAATATTATTGAGTTTGTACCATTTATAAATTGGGGCACTTTCATTGCCTCACCCTGTACCTGTCATGAGGCATGTTGTTAGCGTTTACTTATCCTTACTGTGTGTGTGTGTGTGTGTACTCACAAAAACATTTATAAGAATTTTAAGTTGGTTAGATGAGTGAAAAAAACACAAAAATTCACAATTTGTATCTTATCTGGGGGTTAAAGGGTTTCACAAAACCGCTCTACGTAATATATTAAATATTGAAATGTGAGGAACATGTAAAAATATAAAGAGCGCTCAAATCAAGTAAATTAATATTTATTACAAAATTAACCACAGTAAAAATACAAGAAATGCATAAGACTGGTAATAATACTTGGATTGGTCCAACCAATCTTGTTACAAGATTTTGTAGTAAGCCTTGTCATAAAGCATTTAGCATAGCCTCCTCTAATACAAGGCTGTGGCAAGGTCGCGCTAGCCATCCTGTTGCCATAGTGATAACAGTAAAAACAAAAGTGTAAACAAAAACATTGGGCGGAAGCTCCATATGAATTAGTACAACAGTCGTTTCAGTTTGCTGGAACAGCAGTTTTGTCCGCCGCGTCCTTGTATTAGAGGCTATGATAACAGTCTTAAACTAGCTAGAAAGTTGTAGGCCTATGGATTAAATAATGTACAGTAGTTGGAAAATTAGGCGTTTAAACATTAGATGGCTTTGAATTTATCTAAAATCCAATAATAATTGTACAGTATAATTATACATTAAATTAGAAACAACAACTTATTGGCCTATTTACTATAAAACTTACATAAATATTACTTTGCTTAATGACAAGCAAAAAAGAAAGGCACTTATTTTAGTAACATTGATCAAATAATGTAATCACTTTCAGATGCCAAGGCGGTGACAAACAGAAATATGTATTGGTTTAAGATTTTCAATTTGCAGCAATCTTTCAAGCAAACTAACTTCTTTTAGTAGACTTGATATTAAGGCTTCTGTATTTTTTTTCTGCTAGTAAAAGGTCTATTGAATAAATAATTAGTAGCCTATTGAAAAACTCATTCATCCTAGACTTTACTGATGTGGTATTTAAAGGTTAGGTTTAGCCTGCACATCAAGTACAGCGCTAATTTTTCCTATAAAGATGTTTCATAATAACAACCTTTAAGTTTTTGCAGTTTTATTTATTTATTTTAATTAAAGTTTTAAACAAACAATCAAGCTGGAGTTATTAAGCCTCTGCACAGTCTTATTTCAACATTTATCTTTTCTGTTTTTTCAACAACATACTGTTTTTATCCTGTTATCAAATTACAAAATAGCTTTAAGCCTACTCACTAAACTGCTTAAAATTTGAACAGAATAAAATCTCTTTTGGTTTAAACAGTCTGCATCACAGCCGCTAGATTATGTCAATCTTCTCATTGACCAAAAAAGTGTGATGACTACTTCGATGGTTTTAAGTAGCATAAGTTACTCCGTGTTTATTCTCAAACACCATTTTTTGGCCTACATTTCATATAAGAAACACCCTCTTCAACCAAACCTCTTAAGAAGATACCTAAAGTGAAATTGTAAAAAGAGTATATTTCATAAAAATTTACTTTTTCAACCCGAGTTCAAGTTTTACGATCGAGGTGAAGCCGAGGTCGCAAAATGAGCGAAGGTTGCAAAGACACTTTTTGCCGGAGTGATGAACTACATTTCGTCATACACTATTGCACAAATTTATTTAATCAATCTAGGTTAAAATTGAAGATAATTTTCATGTAAAGTTAACCTGTCAAAATATCTTCCAGCTTTTTTCAATTCTGCTAATGTAAATATGCAGTTGTTTAGTGAGTGATTCAATAATTTTGTCTATCACGATTGTGTTACTGTACGTACATTATACCATTGATATGTCAAACTATTGACAAGAATGCAACAATAAGCTAAAACCTTACCTAATAAATCAATCGATAAATAATTTTGATCCATGTGATTGCTAAAATCAAAATCGACAACTGTTTACAACAGCTGATTTTTACTCCCTTAGGAACTAAAAAGAATTTTTAGTTTTTACATCCCTTGGATTAAAAACGCTACTCGCGACCCGTAACACATGTATAAAAAACGGCTGTTTTTGCTGCAGTATGACGAAAAACATGATATATTACTTTTTAGATTATTAAACGTCATATTCTTACACATAGTTCAACTATTAGCACCTTAAAATGTATACAGTAATAAAGTTTAAGACAATGTCATGCAATTAACATTATGTACAGTCACATGAAAAGCTATTCAACCTAGTTTAAAGGAGGTATTGATATTCCCAATTCACTTATGTTATCTTTGGCTAACAATTGTTTCTTGTCTTCTTTTGATTGTTTCTTTACTGACTTCCGCTGCGGTTTTCTGTTTGTCACTCCGTTCTCTTCATCCATCATTCTGATGATCTGTGTGTGATCGCTCGCGTCTATAGGTGCCACAGATATATCTCTGACAGCTCTGAACTTACCACAGTTGTTCAAGTGCTCGTTCTCCAATCGGAAAAAGTTCCATACAAATCTCCTGCAAAATAGAATTTTTTGTAAAGGTTCTAGTCTGTTATTTTTAGCTACATATTGAGTCTTGAATGTTGAATATTTTAAAAAGCAGTTTCATTTTTGAGCTCAGAACGGCTTTTTTGAACGGCTACAGTTTAGTTTTGGGCTTAAAGATCTAAAAATCTCAAAATTTTGACAAACAACCATTGTAAAAGTCAACAGATAAAAACAGAACTAAATTTATAACTTAATTAATTATGACTCATCTTACCTAAACACTTCCAAAATGGCCGTAGCTGAAGTGATAAGGTCGTTAGAACAGAAGTCTATCTGTACCAGAGCGAAGGAGAAAATCCAAGCGAACCTGAGCACCAGATCCTCAAGGATTGCAAAGTAGTAGAATGCCTTGAACAACAAAACTGTTAGTTATCTCAGGGCTTGGACACAAAGCAGCATTACCTTTGTTGTTTCAAAAAAATATAATAATGAAATATCATTTGAAAAATGTTGTGTAAATTTAATGCAAACGGGATTTTTTGCTTATTTTGTACATAGTACAAACCCTTATCTTTTTACTATCTAAATAACACACCTGTTGTTTGGAAGAATCATTAATTGCCGTTCTACTACTTAAATTTAGAAAGCCCTCTAGAAATGCCAAAAATCAAGTTGAAAGCTACAGCTCCATTGGCCGTAGTATATAGCGCTGTAATATTGCGGGCTACACGCAACAGTTGGCTCCAAGCAATAGAATAAAAATCTCAATCTGCAGTGCCGTTGCATACGCTGTGGCTTTGATAGCACTTAGCGTGGATGGCAGAAGAGACCCTGGACCCCCAAGTTAATATCTGTAGTGTTGTACTTTTTTTATAAATAACACCGCTTACATCAGAAAACATTTGTGGATCCACTCAATATTAAGCAACAGGAAGTCCGAAGGGATGTTCCATATGTTACATTAATTATATTGCATGTCTCAAAGCTCCTTTGACCACTTGGTTCCTGCATTATAAAAATGTGCTGTATATTACATATCTTTGCAATTAAAAATGATGAATACATAATTATCTGGTTGGCTGTAGGCTGAGACTCAAATTGACACAGTACTACCCCTACCCTCTACAGCTACAAGTGGAGCCACCGTGCAAGTGTGGCGCAAAAATAAGACAGGCTCCATTTCTGCATGACACTTCTTTCTGCAGCGTGCCGTAAAACAAATGACTGCAGACTAGCCAGTAAAGCCACCTTCTTTTGATTGCTACCTTCTCATTTCTCTGACTTACCTACCACACTTTGTAGTGTGACAAATACGTCAAGCGGATGAACTTAAGTGTTATGAACTTCTTGTGTGCATAACACCGGTTGTGTGAATAACCTTGGACTGTATGTGGCACAGCTGGTAGAGCGCGATGGACTGTGCAGCCTAGGCAATAGTCCTTTACTCTCGGGTTTGTGTTCTCCCGTCGCCTTTCAAAGTTGTTATAGTATGCTATGACACTGCTGAGTGTTCAAATATGTTATATATTTTTTCTATTGACTTCTGCATCATTTTTACCATTATGGTCTATTCATAGTGAATATCACAAGTGACTCACAGTGCTAGTGTAGACGATTTCCTCCCTAAGGAATGTGTTCTCGCCCGCGTGCTGGTCTAGGAGTCCCCAGTCCATTTTGATGTCCCACGTGTACGCGTAGATGGAGCTGACGGTGGACGCTAGCAGCCACCAGTAGAGGTACGGGTTGTCCCACTCATTCTGGAACTCCTCTACAAATGTCACCTCAGTAAACACCCTGACAAAACCAGTTCAGTGCGGAATCATTATCAATGTAAATGATTAAGTACTAGATTACAGTATCGTATCTGAGTGTTAATGTTTTTTTTTTTTTTTTTTTTTTTTTTTAGAAGAGGTTGGCGGCCTCTTTTAACCTTGCATTTGCCTGTCCACATAGACTAAGCGCCTGTGCGTGGAGCGTTTACAGCAAAGCAAGGAGTGAGCTGGTACAGTACAAAGGTGAACTGTACTGATACATTTTAGTGGCAGTGACCAGGATCCGAACCCACGACATCGCTGCCTTGGGCCCGAAGTCCGCGACGCTACCGACTGAGCCACCGACTCACTAAATAGTTTATAGTCCTCGTGTAATCAGGAGGTTTGGTTGTAAGAAAAGTTATACATTTTAACATTTTTAATTTGGATCCGGCTGAACTTCATCAGGCTTGGGTCATTGAGCTAATTTATGGTCCTGCCTAAAAAAAACTTTTGATCTTGGCCAGTATCAAAGATAATTTCATTCCATTCTAAGCCCATATCTTGAATTGGTGCTTATAGCGTTAAATGTCCATCTAGGTATTGTTGCTGCCTCAAAATTAATGATAAAGGTAATGGTAATGATGAAAACATTTTAGTGGTGATTGTGGATCATCATGTGTAATTGGGAAGTTAACTCACTTTTTTTAGACATAGTTCATGATTTAACACAATCCAAAATTTAAACAAATTTACAACAAATAATTATGAAAAGCAAAGAGCTAGTAGTCTGGAAGCGCTAACAATTATTTAAAAAATCAATACTGTGTTTTGAAGAAATTGTAAAAAAGCAAAAGGCCATGAGAATCAGGACCCCCATTACAAATATCTTACAAACTGACTGTTCATCAAATACACCAACTATTACTTTATTAATTTTAAATAGCAATCAATTTATAAATTTACCTTTACTGCGAGCTCGCTGAAGAGCAAAGAAAGCTACGAAGAATGTAGTTGAGTATTTTCCAGCATTGACGAGGTGAGGGAAGGCTTCCCTGGAGTCGTAGTACCGCCTAAGACACTGTGCAAAACGGATCCACGCTGGGACGCAGTTGACCAAAGTACGACTGATAAGGAACATCTCGCCTCCAGAACAGTTATGGATATCTGAATTTAAACTAGTGTTAAACAACGACAAACAATAGTGTTACAAAAACAATGTAGTAATCAGCTATTAAAACATTGCAAACATTCCATACTTACCAACTCCCGTAGTTTCGAGCCAGTTTCCGTTTGTGAAATAAAAGCAAACTAGGAAATGCATGTCCAGTAAAACAGTTACTAGACTGTTGAGTTGATCAGCCAGCCAGAAGTCAGCAAATCCAACGTGGAAAAAGGGAGCGGAAATCATTTTGCCCTGCAATATATCAAAACAAAGGTTATAATGCCAAAATGGTACATTTGTTGGCATATTAAGCATACCATTTAATTTTGTTTGTTTTAACAAAAAACTTACAATTCAAAATTTGTGTGTGGCAATATCAAACACAATCTGTAAACATAATCTAGACGATGTACTCAGATTCTAAACCATTTATTAAATACCAAAAGCTTTAAGAAATCTAGGGATGGACGGGTCCCGAAATTTCGGGAATTTTTCGGGAAAAAAATATTCCCGATTATCGGGACGGGATTACATTTGATTCGGGAATTTTTCGGGACGGGATTTGGTCCGATCGTCGACGATTTTGCCACTTAGCGAGTGCCGATGACGCCGCTATTGCGAGCGATAGGTCCGCGAACGCAGGAGACGAAGTCATTTAGACGATCGCGCCGTGACCGCGGAGTCATGCCGACGATCATGCCGTGGGACCGCAGAGTCATACTGACGATCATGCCGTGACCGCGGTCATTTTGACGATCGCACCGTGACCGTGAGTCACAAGTTTCTATAGGTACCTGTATATTGTTACACATTTTTTTGTTTGTTTTTATAGGTCAGTACCACAAACAGTAAAAATTGATTTTGTATGTCTTCTTTTTTGGTAACTGCAATACTCAAGACTTTCTTTTTATGCACAGAAAAATCCCGTCTCATCCTGTCCCGAAAATTGGGAAGGAAATAAAAATCCTGTCCCGTCCCGAACTAAAAATTCAATCCCGTCCATCCCTAAGAAATCAAAAATGTTGGATTTCATACTCTTTAATAGATTTGTTATTCTTAAATAGATTACATGTAATGAATTCATGTATGAATACAATTTTAATATATAAAGAATTTGTAAGATGTGTTTTTACATCTTATTTTTGTGAGTTCAAAAACTTTCAACTACAAAAACAATCCGATTTGTAAACTTCTATCTTCTGGTATCATAAAAAAAAACCTTTAAATCACCATCAGTGTCCACTAAGCTTACAACAAATCGTACAGACATCAAAGCATGTATCTGATTTTATCATAGGATGAGAAATCTTCCTGTATTATTCAAAGTCAATAACCAAACTTACAATAACTTTCAAGGACCAGAATCTCGCTTCATGTCGGAACGTGTGAATCGGGTTGATGGTGAAGACCAGAAATATAATGGCCAGACTGAGGGGATTCACGTAGGGTGGGATGCTGAGTGAAGCACTGTACAAGAAACTCAGCATACTCAATGTCCACACGACCTGCAAGTTGCGACAAGAAAGTTAAATACAATCATGATATTTGCTAGTAGCAAAATATAGGGTCTAGAGCTTGCCCAGGACATTTCTTCATGGTGCAAACTGGTATCTTGTTCAAGTGGTTGAAGCAATCTTTCCTCGTGACTAACTTTAATACAAACTAAAATGTTAATGAGCGTTGAAAATTCTACGAGCCGGAATTTTCTGAAAAGTCAGAATGAAATCAGAGAGGATAATCTGTGTAGCTTTGTTACTGACTAAGATTAGCTGTTTATTATGCCAAAATCATTTGTTAAAAGCCCAATCAGAACCTTACCCCCATAATAGCAGCCATCTCCATGAGGTGTTGCTCCGACAGATGGTTACGAGGGTCCAACTCAAATATCAGGACGTGATTTACTCCCGAAGATCTCCAGCCGTAGACGTTGACTCCGATAAGGAATAGAAACTCAACTATGAGCAACGGCCCTCGGTAAAGTTTAAATGCTGTGTTCAAGTTGGCTGTCCCACCGTCATGGAAAATTGCTGTAACAATAGTTATTTTTGGTCAATTTTATACAACCACCTTTTTTATTTAAAAAATTAAGTAGGTAAAAGCTAAAAATAATCTATTATGTACTACAAAGAGGAAAAGCTATTATATTTTAAAATTTTCAATATGTACTGAAAAGACTAATGATCAAAAACAATAACAAAAGCTCTTACACACTTCCTCCACTGGAAGTCATATAAATAACAGTAAGAGGTTAAAATTGCATAACAGATTATGTCATGTCTTAATTGCCTCGGTAGTAGAGTGGTTATAATGCTCGGCTTCAAATATTAAGGTGATGCTAATATGATGCTAATCAATCCCAAATAGGACTGATTCCAGGAGCAAGATATCATTTATTGTTAGGCTATCAAGTAATAATTAGGGCTTGCCTTCAAATCTGAAGTTCGCTAGTTTTATCTCTAACAAAACCGATTCTGGACCAAGCAGCTATTTGTCATTAATCTTGAATTAAATTGTGCCGTTTCAAGAAAGAAACATTATACTGTAGTTAGTCACACAATCAGGATTAGGATGGTTGCATTTAGAACAACGGATTTAGACTGCTTTCAATTAAAAGCATTTTGTGATTTCTTAACTTAAAATGTCTCTGGCGTAGACAATAAAAATAATAACATATTCAACTTTTTTCTTAACTCAAAACAACAGCAAAGCACTTCAGATTTTACTATCATACCTTACCAGAAAGAACAACAGCGATAAACAAGACAACGAATGACCCGGAGAACAGTCCCACTTTGAACGTGGTCCAGGGGCTTTGTTTCTCGCCGAGGGGCGGAACTCTGAGTCGCTTCATAGCTCGTTGGCGGTCGCCTGCTTCCAGCTCCTGAGTGACTGTCGCCTCCGTCTCTGTGATGAGGCGAGGAATGTCCTTGTTGGTGTAGAAGTGAGCCGACTCCACATGTTCTGTCCTGTATTTGGCCCCCAGCTCAACGTTGAGGAGCTGAAGAAAGAAGACGAACGTTATAAATTAAAATCTAAACAATAGGTCAACCCTCCCTCACTATGAAGTATCAACAATTAGGACACTTCTAAGTCGTCCATTGCCAGTGTTCTTTACTTGCCTTGTACAACAAACAGAGAAATCTGCAGCTAATTCTAATAATGAGGCTTTAATTGCAGAGTTTCGGAAAAAAACTATTCAGATACAATTTTTTATTCTGAAAAGAAGACTACGTTTATCAGATCAAGTGCCAGGCTAGGTGCGTACCATACAAAGGTAGACACAATGGAATTTATCAATTTTTAAAGAAGTTGGCGGCCTCTTTTGATCAACTTGTATTTGCCCATCCACTATGCCTCAGGCCCGTTTGTGGGATATATCAAGTAAATCCAGGGGTTGAGCTGATAAGAATGAAGTTTATGATAACTTTTTTCCTTAATTTTGACTCCAGTGGCATTTTTAGACGAGAGACAATGTATAGTGTGTACTGAAATTACACATTTAGGGAAAGCGGTCCAAATCCATCCGTTGTAGATGTGTTGGGAATCAAATCCGTGCCTCCCGCACCGAAGTCTAGAACCCTAACCACTAGGATAGCAACAGACCTAAGTATTTAACTATATATTAGTGGCAACACTGGGACACAACCCCACATCGCTACCTTGGAATCGTAGTCTGTTGCACTACTGACTAAGCCACCAACAACTTAAGTGCAATATCTTGCTCTTTCAAATAGTTATGCGCGGCCAGACCAGTCCTCAACAACTTTTAATACCATTTATGAGAAAAGACAGGAAAATTTTACTTTGCCCCTTCAATTCTGTATTCTGGGCACGATCGAGTGAGATTTTATCAACATTTGGGAAACTAACTCTATATTTTCCGTATGTTGTGAGAACAGTTTAATTCATAACACCTGTTAATTTCTGTTAATCATAATCATATGCTTATTTGTTATTCTATGTTTGAAAAAGGTAAATAAAGTTAGTTGATTCAGAGTTATGACATAAAACAGTGCATCGTACACTTGGATAAAACTGCTAACCTTGTCATGTTTTTTGAGAATCTTCCTAAACCCAGTGTAGTTCAAGTTCTGATAATTCTGCAGCAAGATAAGGCTGAGGTAGAATTCGCTGAATGCCAGCTTCAGATCATTCAATTTCCTAATTGGAACGTCATGTTTTCTTTTGGCTTTTCCTTTTTGCTGAAGCGAAGAAGAGAGCTCGCTTCGCAGGGTGGCAAACTTTCTTGTTGCTTCTGCCAACTTTTCTAAACAGAAAAATATTAACAGTGAGATTTCCTTATAAGATTAAAATAAGTAAAATGTTCAATTACAACTTCAAAATACTCTCCCGTACTTTTTAAAAGGGGGTGGATGAATTTTAATTTTTTTTTATTTACTGTATCCAAACAGCATTTAAATTTGGTTAACTTAATTAGCACAGTTACGAAGGGGGGGGATGGATTGATTTCGTAAAAACATACCCAAACTATGCCATCGAATTAGAAATATGACAGCAGTTTCTCCTTTTAGTAAACAGGATAACCTAGTTGTTTAGATATCTTTTAGTAGGCTACAATCACAATGTTTTGATAGCTTTCTCTTGTTATTGTTCAACGAACAGCAAGGTTTGCCGAGAGTGGTGCTATGCTGAAGTGAAAGCTCACCAGAATAAAACGTGTTAATTTTGAGAAGTTCTTTGTCGCAGTAGCTGAAGAACATCTCGTCAAACTTGGTGAAGTGTCTTGTTACTTCGTCCGGCTCAACAGTCTCCGCTGACGGAGCCTCTTCTACGGCCACGTACAACATGGCTTTCATCTCCTAAAATCGTAAATCACATTTTAAGTTAATATTTTTACAAATCCAAAACATTATATGACACCTTAGATAAAAAAAAACATGTCCTTGTGTCCTGTTAGAAAAGTTTTTAAACTACTTATTGTCCCCTATTGTACTTAATGACAACTTTCACTACCATATCACGCTTTTGATTTTCCAGCTATATCAGCTGCTACTACCACAGCAATTTTAATGAACACGGAATTGCACCATTGTTATTTGCACTGTATGTTTTGGGAACTGCCTAGCTTTATTAACTAACATCAATTAAAAGAATAAATGCTATTGACAATATACAGTTGCATCTTATAAAATGCACAGTGATGGGAAAACAGGTTTGTTAAAACAAAAATTTTAGATCTATATTTTGAATGAAAATACTATTTTTAATTTTTACTAGCACTTTTATACTTACACTTTCCAACCCCTGTTCTAGCTAGTATATAATATAAACCTGTTGTCTATTAATCGATGCATATAGTAATGACATCTGATTCTCTATCAGTTTTTCTCAGGATCTAATTAAGAAGTTTGTAAATTATGGATAAAACTTTGCTAAACAGTAAGTTAAATTATTTTATAACAATATTACTTAGCAGCTTGGAACTACACTTTTTATCATAAAAACATTATTTTACATACAGTACTCCTAGATTGATATATTTTTAAAAAATGTCTATTCTTACAGCCTCCCCAACATTGTTGGTTATTAACTTAACTTGGTTATAAAAAACTTCAACTTTTGATTTTATGTCAATTCATACCAATTCAGTATTTTTTTTACTCCTATCAAAATAAACAATTATTTAAAAAATTAAAACATTGTACTTTTTACCTCATAGTTTATGTATTGTTTACGCCATTCTGGAGTGATATGAGCAGACAGATGTTCAGCGAATTTCATCTTGGCGTTTCAGTTTGTGACACTCAAATAGAATATTCACAAACAGCACATGTTCTGTGTCAGCTGTGAACAAAGTCTAGATTTATCAGCTGTCAATATATTAGGCTATATTTGTGTCCGTTGAAAATTACCATACCGATTTTGATGAAATTTTTTACAATTGTCTAAACCAACATCAAAAGATTTTGGGAACCAGCATGATGGGACTATGGAAAAATGGGATTCTATAAGGCAACGGGCTTTCTCATTTTTGACTCTCAAAACATACAATTTAAAAATAGTCTCCAAGCAATTTTAAAGATAAAAAATATAGTACAGTACATTAAAGCGTTGTTGTTGTACGTTTAATGGTAACAGACAAAATTCAGCATAACTGTAAGTTCCTATGTTTTTCTTATGGAGAATAAGTAAACTGATATTTTTTTATGACATTTGTTAATTTTTAGGGCTACTAAATTTTTACCACACCGAAAACACACTTTGTTCCATGGATCAAAACCAGCAAACCTGAGAACCATACTCGTTAATAAATACATGTATGTAAAAGGAAACATTTAAGTGAAAATACAGCTCTGCGGGTTTGCTGTGGCAGGGCTATTTTATCGTAGTAAGGTTATATCGCAGAACAGCATAGTGTTTTTGTTCCTCCTTAATTTTTAGCCTGTTTAGGTAAACAAAATAATTCAAATCTGTATTAAGTTTGATGTTGGCTTTTCTGAGTTGTTTTGGTAGTATTTTTAGTTGTGTTTGTGGATGTTTATTTTTGTTACACTGATAGATATAACCACTGAAGTGTGATATAACTCTTTCTATTTTTTTTATTTAGCCCCAACTAGTAATATTTTACCCCTCCAACAATTTTTAAAATTTGAGACCCATGATAAATTTGTATTGTTTTAAATCAAGGATCATCAAACACCGCTTTAATCACTTTGAGGCGATTGTGTGTGATTCATGTGTGTTAAATTGAACGTCACAGATAAGTGAATTGTAGGTCTTCATTCATCAATTGTAAAGCTATTTGTTCCTCTTGGTTAAACTTAATGTCATTCACTCTTTCATGGCGCTGCAAGAATATGATATCTCAACTGTCAGCTTATTATAAACTGCCAACAACCTGTTACAATAACAATAATTCATTATGAAGTGCACAGACAAAAAAAAACTTTGGGGTTAAGGATTATTCAAATGCAGGGTTTTATTTATCAATTTGTTGATTTCCAAAAATGTTTCTTTGATTGATCAACTAAAGTTATTTACTGAAGTTCAATAATATGTCAGTGTCTTATTCCATAATCCAATCCTTGATTATTCATAACTATAAGAGCTTTTATTAGTTTGATATGTGCTATGCTAAAGATGTTGTTTCAAACACATTACCGTATACACCTTTAAAATATTTTGTATTATTTTATTTATAATTACTATAGGAAATTGCTTACATTATTTTTTGTATTTATTTTATTTTTTTTTATTTATTGTATTTTTGAATTTGTTGTACCAAAGCAATAAATCATTAAATCTCTGCCCAAAAAATTGAACAAATATAAACATAGCAAATAATGTTCTTGTTTTGAAAGCAGCTAAGCACATCAAACGTTGATAAGCTTGTGTGTAGGATTAATTAAGAGATAAGCTTCCTCAAGCTAAATGAAACTCCTCAACAAGTAGTTGTTAATAGTTTAAATCTGTTTATATTATCTGCTCCTGTTTTTATTGACTTCCATGTGGTGGCCTTAAAACTTTTGATTACAGATTTTGTGAGTTTTTAAGTGTTCCTACAGTTGGTATTTACAGTGTTTTGTGTAATTTTTGCGTGTCTTTAAATCACATTTCTTCAATAATTTGAAAGAAGTGGTGAATTATCATACTGGCAGTTTTAACGAATTTCCCATATAGGGAATAAGCTATTACCGTACCGTAGTACTCATGGTAAGACCTGGACCCGGGACCGATTTAATCTTTTGTTTTGAAACATACGTTTATTCGAACGAGTTCGCGAACCAGAATGATCGGACTATGGGAACAGGGGTTTATGGGGGTTTTATGGTGCAAACATAGGTTTTCCCCATTTTTGACCCTATAAACTTAAAATTTAGCATTTTCTTTCCAAACCATTTTGTAGATCTTAAAAAACAAATAATTTAGTATATTGAAGCATTATTATGCGCCTAATGGTTACGGAGAAAATTCCAAAAAACTTTAAATTTAAAATTCCCATGTTATGGAGAATAAGTAAACTGTTGTAGTTTGCTTGTTTATGATCATATTTTGATCAAATTTGGAAAATGCATTCATTTCATACTAAACTACTAACATTTGACAAATAACACCTTTTTACCCTCCCTGTTGTAGCAAACCTAAGTAGGTACTCATTAAACTAATGTTATTTAAATAGGGAATAAATGTGATATTTTTAAGGAGACATTTTAGTGTAAATCCAATCAGGCAAATGGAAATTCGCTTAGTCTGCAGGTTTGCTGCGGTGGGGGTATTTTAGTAGGTATACCTACTTAGTACTAAATAATCAGAAAATATTCAATATCTTTTTACATCAGAGAATGTCTACAGAATCTAAACATTTTGAGACACTTAACTTGTAATGTTTTAGGTCAAGTAGACGTATGATACGTCCAATGGGTTTGTAATGGGGAGTTGTTAATGCTAATGGGGTTCATCCTCTAGGCAAAATTTCGAGGTCTGACACACACTCTTGATTTTTTTTTTTTTTTTTATAAATTGCAAACAAATAAATTATGCTACTTCCAGTACCGACTATTGAGTACTATGAAGTTGTGTTTTGTGTCAATAGTCAAAGTAAGTACTTAAAATGTGTTACCGGTACTGTAGGCCTACCTACCAAAGTACTGTGTAGGTTATACACAAAGATAAAATATGAAACTAACCTAAATAATGCAACAAATCCCCAATAAAATTTCAGTTCCACTAATTTAAAATTTTGTATTCATAATTCAAAACCAAAACTTGCATACCATTTACATGAAACAATGTTAGTTTTCTACAAAAAAAATGTTATTCACATTTGTTTTCTTACATTATAAAAACAATTTTTATACTGTTAGGTATGTTTAGTTTTTTTCCAAATTAGCTAGCACAATCAAAATTCAAAACTTTAGATCTATTAATTTGTTTTCAAGAACTATGTAGACCAACCATCCACACAATACTTTTACAAGAACATGTGCACTAGAAGGTAAAAAAGTGATAGCATAAATCAATCAAATCTCAAATCATTTTACCTCCGGAAAAGAAGAAGTACACCCGTAGCAATCATAGCACTTTTAAACACATCTGTTTTACAGCCTGATGTGAAAGCAGACGATAAACTACCTGTTGAGCAACAGAATGTAGTAGAGGAAAGCACGAGATTATCTATCACAGGAATAAATCGCGACTGCATCAGCTGACCGAACAAACTTGTCAGTCCAGCTGACTAGTGAACTGAACGTCAGCGTCGTCTGCCGGCCGCATGACTAACTAACTTACATAACAGCTGATAAGATAACACAGTAATCCTTGTCGGCTCCCAATAATATTCCAATCCAATACGGTTAGTAATGTGTCGAGGTACTACTCGCATGACATCGGTAGCGTTTGTTGATATCGTTTGTTTATCACTCAACAGTTGTCGGATGAGCTTAGTTGAATATATTGAAAATCTTGTAGAGTTAGTAAGGGTTTCTTTAAAACAAGGATTTTGAGCCTGAAACTTAGAATATGTAACGTTTGTAAATTGTTTGGCTATAACTGGATCTTACTTGCAATTTGAACAGATCGTTATTGTTGTTGATGTAAATTGTAATTGTCGTGAAATTGCATTCAACTCCTTTTTTTACAGGAAAATTATTTGAATAAAATTTTTTATTGAATCAAGGCCGCACTAATGATTGAATAGGTACAGATCCATCATAAATAAAGTAACTTTGATAATATTAGATCACTACACAACATTCTGAAAAAAAAAAACATCAACTTTACAAGTTTTGTTATGTTCAGCATTTTTGTTATTGAGTTAAAGTTTGAACACAAAAGGCATAGTTCCATAAAAGTTTTAAAACCGTTAAATTAAATAAGCTTTTTTAATAACTACCTACTGTACCCACTTAATATGGCATATATTTTGAAGACTGAAAAAATACACACATTTTTTTAAATTTTAAATATCTTAAACTATTCGTATATAAACAATATGATTAATTACTGTTCACATTTCAAATATAAGCCAGGTACTGTTGTTTTAAGATTTTCTCTAAATCCAGCATAAATGTCAAAATAATATAAACATCTAACGCCTCCAAATGTATCCCATAAACCCAAATAAAACTAAGTTCAAATACTTTTTAAAATTGTGAGTTGTAAATTCCTTAAAGTTCAGAAACAAAACACATAAAATCACGAATATTGACAGAAAACATTGAGAACACAAAAATGTTATAATCAGTTATGTTAAGGTTCTGTTATGTTTTGTTATGTCATATGCTATTTTTCATGTTTTATAGTTATATTTAGTTATGTTATGTTGTGTTGGGCTGTTATGTTATTATTGTTGTTAAATTAAAAATGTTATTCCATACTTAACATTTATTTGAACTTATTACCTTTTTTTATAATTCTTTAATTGTTAAAAAAAGTGTTGACAACAGTTTTCTTAACTTTAGCCAGTATATGTAATAGAAACAATAAACTATGGTTTTCCCTATATAATCTACTGACTAACTGACTCTATGATGTAGACTTTTACTGCAATTTAGGAATTCTCAGTTTGCCTAGTCAGCTGTTTCGTCCTACGTGCTCTATCAAATTTCTTTTCCAATCATCAGGTCTTGTACTCAACCGGAAGCCACCATGTTACTAAAGTGCTGTTATTCTTATCAGTTACACACACACGGCTTCTTTGATTACTAAGAAGCTTTACCCATGCTATTCAACAACGGATGAGGTCGAAGAAGAGAATGTGGTTCGGATTGTAAACTACAGTTACCCACCCAATGGTTGACAAAAATGTTTGAAAAACTAACCTTAATTTTATCACTTAGTTTCATAGTTTAAAATCAGCTCTGTGGCACAATTAAATAAATTATGATCGAAAATGTAAAACGTGAATGTAGAAAAATCACAGAGATTTTCTTAAGCATCAATTTTTATTTTAAACTTTTTTCGACAAAAATGTATACTTCCTCTTCCACCACAAGTAGCCTACTGTATAATGTATACTGAAGGTATAACCTTTCCTCTGCATTCCTAGGACGCTATAGGCTCTCGTCCAAAACATTTTGCGCACACTATATCAGACTAGAGCCTGAATTAGCACATAGCTTATAAAGTCATTATGATTGGCGAGATCTAAAACCCGACCATCTGGGATCAAAGTCCCGCTTTCTATAAATACAAATAATGTAGACCACCTTGCTCCACAAGTGTTAGTGTTACCATAGATAAAACAAACTCCCTTGTGTTGGTTAGTCTATGGTGTTACTGTTATACATTTTGTTTGTGTAACTGCGCTATTATAACTTTACGATTTTGTAAGGTCTAAACCAGATTGTGTTGCTATCTAACGTCAACCCTTTTGTTATATAGTATCATTAGTTGATGCAGGAAATGGATTATAGAATTTTAAACTATTTATTTGGGTCAAATATCAGGTTTAGCTGCATTAGAGGAGGCTATGGTTTATTAAATAATCAGTTACAGAACAGTGTTATAGCATTGTGTATGTATTGCGATTGTCAGTTTCAAACGCCCAAGTAACTTTTACAAACATAGCCAATTACGTCAGAGGGACAAACGCGATTGAACAAAACGCTAATTACAGTAACTCATTGTGTTAGCTGGAAGGCTCGGTCGTGATATATTAACTGTTTGTAAATAGAGAACTCGTACAATGCTAAATTATGGCTAATTAGCGAGTGTTATTTTTGTGTTCCCATTCTATCTGTGGTTCAAAATCAGACGCATTTAGCATGGGGGTTGTTTGTAGAAGGTTTAGATGTTTGAAACCGACTAGAAATGGTTAGATGAGGATGCGCTTTTTTCTCTGGTTTTCTGTGTTTTACATATGCAGAAGGCTTAACAAACCTAGCCTACAACATTTACAGGTAGACGACAAACGACAATATTGAACCCTGAAAAGTGATGCATTGTTTGACTGGTTGTTGTTATGGCGAGAAAAACAAATTAGTTGATAAACTTATCAGTTTGGACTCTTGCAAATATTATACGCCACTGTTGAGACCACAACCAAACCTCAGTGTATATAATTCTGTGTTTTAATAACATTATTGTTTTGCTTTATCTCACTTAACAGTGTAACTCACACCTCGGCAATCCTTAAAATTATTGGTAAGAAACTTGTATGTTGTATGTATTCACAATGTTTCATCAAAAACATATCCAGATTAGTGTCAGTTCCAACCATTGCCCAAATGTATTCAAATTGATTAGTTTACATTGTACACAGTACTGTACCTCAATTTACAGTTACAGTTTGGAAAAGTCAACGATTGCGTTAACACTATTTATGTGAGTTACGTACACTACTACGACAGTGTTTTTTTATTACTAAAAATCGGTACCGGTACTCATAACTTCTGATAGAGGGTGACGCAATGCAATGCAACATTGTACCAATTGCACCACTCAATTTATTAAATTGGCCTGAACAGCTGTTTGGATGAAGTCCGAATCATTACAATTTTACTTCTTCTCTCTGAATCCTTGAACCTCATTGGTCCATTACCCCGTGTTGTTATGAGTAAAACGTAAAACTATGCCGGTATGAAAGTAAACAATGCTGTTATGTGAAACTTTTCAATTCTAAGAACTGAACTGAAACCGCTACTTTAAAAACCGGTCGTTGGTAAAAGTCCATTAACTAAGTAATCTAATCTGATGGGTTATGGGGTGGTTATGTTGGGTATAGATTCTTTCTTTAATACAATGATTTTTCTATCTTAACAAAATTTAGTATGTGTTGATACAACAACATACATTGAACATAATGAACTAATAAGAGTTTTAAAGGGAGTCTATGTTAGTGACACAGCTGTTCCATTAACCAACTAATTAATGAACCTTGACAATGAATCAAACAGTATAATTTTGTCAATTCTCAGTAACAAAGCAGACGCCTTTCCACCCGTATTTCTCTCATTCTTTAACTGTATTCCATAACAGAACTTATTTATTTAAATGGATTCTGGTTCTTGACTCATCAAAACTTCCCATTTAGGTTGATCAATGAATGATCAATCTCGATACTTGGTGCCTTTTATGGATTTATAATACAGGTTCCAGAATGTTTTGAATGAGTATTGAGTAGAAGTCAAAATTTACGAATCACTGGAATCAGATCAATCAACCAATGTGATGTTGAACCGTTGAACCATAAATTCAGTATTTATATCACTCATTAAAATTAATTATAGTCTCTCAGGTGCGTTCCGATTTGCTGCGATTCTCTTGCAACTTGATGCTGGGAAGTACCCAGCACCTTACCCTTTTCAACGTCTCAAGAATATGCCAATTCGTCTGTGAATACCATTTTCAGGTTCGGATGGGACTCTTGAATATCTAGGTTTTATGACAGCATATGCAGAATATGGAACCATTTACTTTCAGGAAATCGTCCTAAAAACGACATCGCATCCATATTTGGGTCAGCTATAGCTACTTTGTTATTCCGTTTGTTGTTCCATAGTTGATGACCCTCACAGAGTTTCTGAAGTTATTCTTTCTGTGGCTGGATAATTATATTTTCTGAATAATTATAACTATTCCATATACTGTCTGAATAATTTATATGACTAAAATTATAACTGCTTACCTGTGTATAATGGACAAAACATGCAGGGAAAAAACATTTACCAAGGTAACAATAATAAATCATCCAAAGCCTTTCTATACCTTCTAAAAGCTTGCATGCTTTTACCAAGGATTTTATAAGAGATATGATAAACATTGAAAGTGTAATCCATACATCCAATGTAGTTTTCGGAGAAAGTTCACGAGCAGTGAGTGACGAAAATGTTTTAAATAATTACATTATATTGATCAGCTTATAAACTAAATAGATTCATTAATCAAAAAAGAAATTGTGGATTCATTTCCGTGCAAAATTGCACAGGTTCTCTTAGTTTATTAAATTTAAATGGGAAATGAACTCAAATTTCAATCACTTCTCTTTATTTCCAAAAATATTGGCAATGTTTTACAGTAAACACCACCCTGCCAGTTTTGGCAAGCTTTCTGTTTTGAGGAAAGCCTTCTGGTCCAGTACAAGCCAAAACAATCTTCAATCGCAAAGAGAAGCAAATAATACTTGGCTATATTTAACTTTTCAAATGCTACAATGCAACAGTGTAAATACAACTATTGTGATTATTGTGTAGTATGAAAACATAATTAAAGATAGGCCTATTATTGTTTGCCATGGCTATGGCTGCTTCAACAAAATGTTTAAGAAATTAGAAAACAAACAAATTCAACTTATTGGGTTTGGACCATTCCCTTTCAAAACGTAAAAAATGCCACTGACGTAGAAACACATCAAATAAAAAATAAATAATAAAACAATCTAGTCAGGCAATGAGTTGAATAATTCTATATGGTCTTAATGTCACATGTATGCAGCACTGCCTTGACGTCAAGATAAAGTCTTGATTACTTTTTTTTTACCGTTCAGTCAATAAAATGTGAATTAATTTAGCAACAGAAAATCTTAAAAAATTGATTCAAATTCACAGCATAAAAATAATTTGAAAATAGAAAATTGAATCACCACAGGCAATAAAAAGGGAAGGGAGAAAAATAAACAACAATATTTATATGGCTAATACAACACACACGTACACATAGATTCTGGACATTTTTACAATTCAGCTGTGTTGGGTTCTGTAGAATTGCTTGTATACAAGCAACATGTATGCTCTCTCTCCCTCTCTCCTTGTGTCTTGTATCAGCAAGCCTACTGTTATTTGAATACTGAACAGTAATCATTTTGAATTTTCAATGATCACTAGATTGTTCGGTGTAGACAGTGACTTTTCTACTTCAACTCTTGATCCTTTTTTGTATTACAGTAAACAATTGCAATTGTTTTTAGTTAAAATTATTTAACTATGTGTTTACCTGGTAATCCTGCACTGACTGTGATTTATAAATGTCTGTATTTAAAAACCTATATGTACTGACCCCAGAAATGCCCCCAATTTATTTATAGTAATTGCAAATTGGATCTTCTTAATAGAAAATTTTTAAATATTTGAATATCCCGAAAACCAGAGAGTATTATTATTATCAACTAGCAATTGAGATGGGGACGCCACCTAGGTGTGTATTTTCCCAAATAAATATGAGTGAAGGATGAGTGTAACATGGAGTTAGATGATCTGTGTAGCTTTTTTACTGACTAAGATCAGCTGTTACATTAGCTAGGATCATTTATTGAAAGCCCAATGATCAGGGACAGCTGGGTCCAGTTTCAAACTATCAAAAAGCTACTGACTTTTCTCAGGATCGATCTTGCAACCTTTTGATTGTTAGGCGAGCACTAAAACCACTTAGTTACCCAGCCAGTCCAAATGAACTATATCTCAAATTTAAAATCGTAATTACTCAAGTATATTTTAACCTATTTTGGATATAAGGAAATAAATTGTGTCAAAGAAACAACTAAATTATTTACTAAAACATTACTCTTTCTTGAGCAGTTCTTGCAGCTGTTTGGTCACCAAGCTCATGTCCGCTCGGTTCTTAGTGACCTTGGCAATGTCGCCGAGCAATGCACTGAAAATCTTCGTCTTGCCCTTCTTGTATGCCTCGACCAGTTTTGGATTCCGCTGTATCGCCTCCTCGCAGATTCTCGTGATCTCGCCAGGGTCGCTCACCAACCACATCTCTTGATTTGTGATGATCTCAGTTGCAGATTGCGTTGAGTCACCAGCGAGAATCTCCAGAACAGTTCGAACTGTTTGTAGGTTAATCTTTTTGTCTTGGAAAAGCTCTGTTAATACGCCAATATCTTTGGTTGATGGTCGTCTGAAAGTAAAATTATTTTTATTCAGTGATAGTATTTTAAAAATGTTGATTTTTGTGTGATTTACGGGGCTTGTCTGTAAGTTAAGGTCTTTATTTAGCTTCTGACGCTGGCAAGCGACTTTAAACCTGAGACCAAGGCCAGATTCCTTACTTTATTCGCTACTATTTTATTTGGTTCCTTATGGGACAATTAGTCTCGTCTTAATACTAAGATACATTGTGAAAAAAAATTGATAAATTGATCCTGCCAAGTATAGATAGCATTCTGTGATTAGATTCCTATGGTATGGTCGTCAACCAATTAGTCCTCAAAGTCTAAAACATATCAACCAACAAAGTTTCTTAGAATTCAATCACTGTCAAGATGGAAACTGATGGAACATCCATTGCCGGCCCTGTTGTGCAAATATGTAGTGGGTCTACCCACTCCCCAAGTTACTTTTGCTCATTTTCTGGGTCGAACCACTTTTCATTCCAAATTTACCTATTCCCATGAAATGACAAGTAGCCCCATAGAGGTAGGGGTAGGGACCAGCTTGAGCAGTAGAGAAAAAGTAAGGAACAAGACCTCAATCCACGCACAGACCTCGTAGCTTAATTTAATATGAAGAAAGTCTAGGTTGTGGGAATTAAAATAAGCCCAAGTAACATATATAACAGGTACCTATGATTAATAAAAAAATAAAAAATAAATAAAAAAGAGTTAACAAAAAACAACAATTGAAATTTTACAATCTTACCCTGAGCCTAAAGAGCACAGATCCTTGTTGACTAGAGTCATTAGTTCTATTGTGAGAAGGTTGGCAGCAATGACATGGCTGCAGGACGGGTTGTCTCTTACCACACACTCAAACATCTCCTGTAGTTCAGGTTCATTCTGGAACATTGGCAAGTCATTAGTTCTATTGTGAGAAGGTTGGCAGCAATGACAGGGCTGCAGGACGGGTTGTCTTTTACCACACACTCAAACAGCTCCAGGAGTTCAGGTTCATTCTGGAACATTGGCAAGTCATTAGTTCTATTGTGAGAAGGTTGGCAGCAATGACAGGGCTGCAGGACGGGTTGTCTCTTACCACACACTCAAACATCTCCAGTAGTTCAGGTTCATTCTGGAACATTGGCAAGTCATTAGTTCTATTGTGAGAAGGTTGGCAGCAATGACATGGCTAAAGGACGGGTTGTCTCTTACCACACACTCAAACATCTCCAGTAGTTCAGGTTCATTCTGGAACATTGGCAAGTCATTAGTTCTATTGTGAGAAGATTGGCAGCAATGACATGGCTGCAGGACGGGTTGTCTCTTACCACACACTCAAACATCTCCAGTAGTTCAGGTTCATTCTGGAACATTGGCAAGTCAACAGTTCTATTGTGAGAAGGTTGGCAGCAATGACAGGGCTGCAGGGTGGGTTGTCTCTTACCACACACTCAAACATCTCCAGTAGTTCAGGTTCATTCTGGAACATTGGCAAGTCATTAGTTCTATTGTGAGAAGGTTGGCAGCAATGACAGGGCTGCAGGACGGGTTGTCTCTTACCACACACTCAAACATCTCCAGTAGTTCAGGTTCATTCTGGAACATTGGCAAGTCATTAGTTCTATTGTGAGAAGGTTGGCAGCAATGACATGGCTAAAGGACGGGTTGTCTCTTACCACACACTCAAACATCTCCAGTAGTTCAGGTTCATTCTGGAACATTGGCAAGTCAACAGTTCTATTGTGAGAAGGTTGGCAGCAATGACAGGGCTGCAGGGTGGGTTGTCTCTTACCACACACTCAAACATCTCCAGTAGTTCAGGTTCATTCTGGAACATTGGCAAGTCATTAGTTCTATTGTGAGAAGGTTAGCAGCAATGACAGGGCTGCAGGACGGGTTGTCTCTTACCACACACTCAAACATCTCCAGTAGTTCAGGTTCATTCTGGAACATTGGCAAGTCATTAGTTCTATTGTGAGAAGGTTAGCAGCAATGACAGGGCTGCAGGACGGGTTGTCTCTTACCACACACTCAAACATCTCCAGTAGTTCAGGTTCATTCTGGAACATTGGCAAGTCAACAGTTCTATTGTGAGAAGGTTGGCAGCAATGACAGGGCTGCAGGGTGGGTTGTCTCTTACCACACACTCAAACATCTCCAGTAGTTCAGGTTCATTCTGGAACATTGGCAAGTCATTAGTTCTATTGTGAGAAGGTTGGCAGCAATGACAGGGCTGCAGGACGGGTTGTATCTTACCACACACTCAAACATCTCCAGTAGTTCAGGTTCATTCTGGAACATTGGCAAGTCAACAGTTCTATTGTGAGAAGGTTGGCAGCAATGACAGGGCTGCAGGGTGGGTTGTCTCTTACCACACACTCAAACATCTCCAGTAGTTCAGGTTCATTCTGGAACATTGGCAAGTCATTAGTTCTATTGTGAGAAGGTTGGCAGCAATGACAGGGCTGCAGGACGGGTTGTCTCTTACCACACACTCAAACATCTCCAGTAGTTCAGGTTCATTCTGGAACATTGGCAAGTCATTAGTTCTATTGTGAGAAGGTTGGCAGCAATGACAGGGCTGCAGGACGGGTTGTATCTTACCACACACTCAAACATCTCCAGTAGTTCAGGTTCATTCTGGAACATTGGCAAGTCAACAGTTCTATTGTGAGAAGGTTGGCAGCAATGACAGGGCTGCAGGGTGGGTTGTCTCTTACCACACACTCAAACATCTCCAGTAGTTCAGGTTCATTCTGGAACATTGGCAAGTCATTAGTTCTATTGTGAGAAGGTTGGCAGCAATGACAGGGCTGCAGGACGGGTTGTCTCTTACCACACACTCAAACATCTCCAGTAGTTCAGGTTCATTCTGGAACATTGGCAAGTCATTAGTTCTATTGTGAGAAGGTTGGCAGCAATGACATGGCTGCAGGACGGGTTGTCTCTTACCACACACTCAAACATCTCCAGTAGTTCAGGTTCATTCTGGAACATTGGCAAGTCACGTACCACAGTCAGTTATATCATTCAAGACATTATATTCTAGCTTACTATCAAATTATGTATATTAAATTTGTTTCTAGATTCCAGAATTAATGGGTCAACTTGCCCACCAAGTACGGTAGATAACATTAGAAGTATTTAAGTGTTAAACGTCAGTTCTAGTTTCCAAATACCTTTCAAAGTATCATTCCTGGACTATAGGCAAACCAAAGAAAATATCACGTTAAAAATCCAAAACTAAAAAAATACCTGTATAGCCGCTATTTTGTTTTCCCTAAAAAAACTATTTTTTATGTGATAGGAATCTTATCTGGGATCATTATTCATTGGGTAACATCACTCCTATTTAGCTCAATCAGCTTTTTAATTGTTAGTTACTCAATGGGCACAAACATTGATGTACATAGTATCTTAAAATGATTTTTCTCCCTTATTTATGGACTGATGTTCTTAAATTTAGTATCCTTGGAATTGTAACAAAATTTATAAATCAAGCTTTGCAACGGTAGTTTTGTTTACCTATGTAGTCTTTACGTTATTTCATTTTAAAAATTTTTTTTTAATGGCCACGATTTATTTACAAACTAAACATGATTAAAAAAATTAAAATTAAAATAATATCTTTACGTTACTAATTTTTGCACCAAATTTTAATTCACTACGAAAAGCTGTTGTCAAATAAAATATGAGTAGTTTTGTGAAGAGAAAAATAGCAACTTTACAGCTCTAATTTTTGAGTTTTTAAAATTTTTCACTTAATATTCCAGTTAGTTTTTTGGTCCAAGAATAATACCTTATAATTCGGTAGAGAGTTCAGGGACAGCCTGTATTTTAAATTCTTAGTGCTGTAATTAAATTAAATCTTGCTTATCTTTAAATGATTTTAAATTCAAGATCCTATTACTTCAGTCCCATAAAGACATTTCAGAAACTTTCATTCCCACACAATACAAACAAATTATCATAGCTCCGATGGAGCAGCATAAATGATTTCTCAAAACTAAAACCCAAAACTTTTGAATTTTTAACAGAATTATTACAAGACTCACTCCAAGCCCAAAGCCATTCCATGAGAAAATATTCTACAGCCTGAGCCTATATTCCATTCCGTGTTCACGAAGCATTCCAGGAATGGAGTATGGTCTGGTTAAGTAGCCAAGGCCTTGGGATGTCTACATACCACTAGCCTCATAGTTATATCAGGGGACAGTGGATAGTCTGCTTGTAGCCTGAGCCTGGTCTGTTCAGGCAACTCAGGCAAGGCAGCCAGCAGCTCAGGCACACTGACCATGTGGGGATGTCTACACGTGCCGTCCATGTCTAGCCTCAGTGGAGGTAGATTAGGCTCAGGCATGAACCTGTAGTCCTGCAAGTATACAACATCAAATCAACTGGATCTTCTTACAAGTTGAAAGTTACGAGGCAAACCATTAATATTCTTATGGTGGTATGGTTCCAACAAAGTAAATATGTTCCAATGTAGGTGTACGCTGAAACTTAATCCCAATGGATTAGCCTGGTTGTGTCGACAAAAAAATTTTTTGTCAAATTTTAAAAGGGGATATCAAAGTAAAGCAATTATAGTTTTATTCATATTTAGGTACTGGGGCAAAATAGATCTTCCATGAGAAGCTTTAAAAATATACCGGTAACTTTCACTAAGACACAGTTCAGTTGTCAAACCATTCTAAATAAACAAATTAATCAAACAAAAACAGTGATGCTGTTACCTGTTTTTCCTCCTTGTCTCTCATTGGCACAGTACAGCTGCGTTCTGCATCCCAAGATCGAGTTTCATTAACCACACTTCCCCCTTTACGAAGGACGTCTTGTTGCCGCTGGATCTCATAATTGACCGCTCGCGCCACGGCACGCACACTTCCGATGTTCTTTACCTCTGTGCGCACTCCCAACGGTGCACCAGGCTTGTGCACAGAAATGTTGGCATCCACTCTCATGCCACCCTCTGGGGGGAAAATTACAATGAAAACACAATCGATAGTATTTTTGAATTCTCTGTCTTCCGGAGACACATTGGTATTTAAACTATCCAGTCAATAGTTTTGTGGTGAAAGACTATTGAAAAATAATACATGAAACTTTTATAATCAAAATTAATGGTGGACTATTTGAATTCAACCCATAGTTTCTATTTTTCAGACACAAACGTCTTTGTGACTCACAAACATCGTTTACGACAAATTCTCTGGGACTGACTGAATTGGATTGTACTGGATCAAGATTGATACAATTGTTTTCGGCAGATTCTAAGCTTTCTCCTGATGTCTGTTTCTAGACGCTTTTCATTTTAGTTCCGATAATATTGTAGCATACAGATTATGTGCGTATTTGTAAACCTCACACCAATGACTGATATGTTTTATTACGTATGAATTTTTTTGTGATAAAAATTACAAGTTGTGATATACGTGATGCATTATAAGAAGATTTAAGTGATGATGAAGGGCTGGTTGATGATCCTGAAGAAGTAGGTAGTGATATTGATGTAAATTATCCTTCAGATTCCTAGCTATGGTTAGACTAAGCTTTCTTAAAAAAAGGCTATCGATAAAATGTGCAAAATCTGTTTTTCACGCATAACTGATTTATTTGAACATTTACTTCCTTATAGCCTTATATTTTTTGACATCATCATAAAATTTTGAACGAAGTGCCTATTTTAAAATATTTGTAGACCTATAAATTATAAAATTGTATTGAGCGCAAACCTTATTTTATTTTATTTTATAATTTTTGAAAAATGTTAACTCCACAAAAATTGTTAAAAAAATTTTGTAATCATACTAATATTATATTTTATATATTACATTGAAGCCCATAATTTTCCAAACAAAATTATATATAAAACAGTATAATTTAGAACGTTCTTAAGTTTCTAAGAAACATTTTTATGAAGCCCAAGAAATGGGCCAACATTAAAACCTTTCCTACTTTACTATGGACACTTGGAGGGTTAAATCACCCCACACATCAGACGGTCTATGGTGACAAGTATTTAACACTCAAATAACATTTATCTCGATTTGGTTTTCCAAAGTAGTTTCATTGACAAGAATGAAATCCCTTCTAATCTGTCATATGTTTGTTGTTCTTTAATATTTATTTAGTTATTATTAAGATCATCTGGAGATTGTTTTTGTATTGTATTTACAAATAATTCAGTTGGTAACATTTTATTCCTAAGATAAAAATTGTTAATCAATATAAAACTTCTTTATTTGACATGGTGGCAGCGGTTTAGTTAAAAAAAAAATGCCAAAAAACAATAGATTATCAATCAGAGGAAACAAATCAAATCAATCATCAGAAACACATAATGTTCTAGAACCAAGACAGCAGCAAAATAGGACTACATCAGTCATGTTTCAACCTCCTGAACCTTTTGATTCCAAATATCCAGAATTATGGGAAAAGTGGTTTAAGCGATTTGAAAGGTATAGAATTGCATCAGGACTGGACAATGAACCTCAAGTAAAACAAGTAAGCTGCTTGATTTACTATTACTGTATGGGGCCTGATTCTGAGGATATCTTATCAACAGCATACCTCTCAGAAGAACCCGACTACCGTCATTGACTAAAGATCTCAAGCCTAAAATGGTAGATCACAAGACATTTAGAGAATTGGACAAACTATATAGAGCAACTCAAGCAGATTACTTCAATAAACGGCATGGAGTGAGAGATGAAAAGCAATTCACTATTGGATGCAACGTGTATATTCCTGATAGGAGAGAAGATGGGAAGATAGTTAATAAAGTAGCTCCAAGATCATACACAGTTAAGACAAACGAAGGCATGTTACGTCGCAATGGGGTAATGCTGAGACAACTACAACCCAAAACATCTGATGAAACTGGAACTGAGCCTAATTGTTTTTCCTCATTTGGTAGACAAATAAATCCACCAAGAAGAACATGTCTTTAAAAAAAGGGAAGAGAAGATGTCATATGTTTGTTGTTCTTTAATATTTATTTAGTTATTATTAAGATCATCTGGAGATTGTTTTTGTATTGTATTTACAAATAATTCAGTTGGTAACATTTTATTCCTAAGATAAAAATTGTTAATCAATATAAAACTTCTTTATTTGACATAATCATTGCTATCATCAGTACCTCGTGGACGAGGACAGTTGGCATTGAATGTGTTGATTGTAAGTTTTACAGTTAAGAAAATCTGTTCCAATTCATTTATGAACATTTACACCGCTCACTTCTTACTACAGTAACTCACCTTCCATCTTACACAGACAGGTGTTGAGTTTGGTCAACACGAGAGTCAGCTCCTTGACCAGTGCTGCGGCCTCATCTCCGTTCACCAAGTCCGGCTCGAACACAAGCTCCATGAGCGGCACCCCGGCTCTGTTCAGATCTATCAGGCTCCTGCGGATAACCCATAGGTCCATAGATACATAATCCCACAGATCAACAATATAAGATGTATCCTGTTTCCTGAAGTCCTGTTTCATTCAAATTGAAATTTATGATTGAAGCCGTTTTAAAATTGGTATACAATATTTTGACTTGACTTTTCAATCAATTAAATATAACTGCTCCAACTTTAACTGAATTGGGAATTATATTTTTTTTTTATATAAACTAAAAAACATTCTGCTAATGTAAAACATTCAACCCAAAATAGAATATTATAAAATCTGACTAGAAGATTGCTCTAAAATTGATGATATTAAAACTTAGGAGAAAAGGATTCCGCCTTCCTAATTTAATGGATTAAAAATATCTTTCTGACTTGTCCAGGATAACAAAATGTGTCCTGGATCGTGCATTGTCCTTATAGACTTGTGGGTTAAACAGTTCTTATTTATCTAGTAAATTGAATGAACAGTATTGGAGGGTTTGAGATGTGTCTGTGGCTTAGTAGCATGACAGACTAGCTAAGACGGCAGTTAGATTTTGTATCCTTATATTTATCAGTATAGTTTATTCATGTCCTGTACCAAATTACCTTTTGTTTTCCTTGATAATTTCCACGCAAAAGCTAGAGGCCTATGTCAATGGTTAAATGCAAGGTTAAAAGAGGTTTTACACCTAAAATAATATTGGAGAAACACCTGCTTAGCACAGGATCGTGCAGTGACTTGCCAGAGTCCTGCTCAAGCTGCAGCTGATGTAATCTGGCAGTTCGGGTGTACGAGGGCTTTTTGTTTCCGGGTATGACCACTTGGAACTGCAGCTGTCCCCCCCGGGCGAGAGGCATCCTCTGCTGCGTTATCTGGTATCCTTGCTGGGTTCAAAAACACAAGGCTATTTATAATCTTTGATTCCTCTCAAACCAATGTTTAAAATCCTGAACTTAAAATTAATAGAATAATAGAGAAAATTTGATTTGAGATGGATCATAGTGGTACATTTGACGGGATTGGTACGAATTCTCTTTTTCTAAAAAAAACATATCTTGACTACCTAATCGATAAAGTTTTTTTAATTAATGACGATGACAATGAAGTTTTGCAAGAGAAACTTAACAAATTAAGTTATGATTTAAATTTATGTCACACATGTTATATCATTGACTCTTTGATACTGAAGTTGAGTCTTGGATAAATTGTCCTATCAGTTTGACTTGGTTCAGGTAAAAAATAGGCTTACTCAACGGAAATTGGAAATTTACATCCAGAGCAAACTATCAACGGCTCAATTCAACTATGTCCATTTTGATTTTAAAAATTAGCAGTTATTTTAACATGCAATGGAACGTCTAGTTCTATTAATAGTCAAAAATTCAATATGTTTAGTTGCATGGTTAGCTAACTTTAACTATTGTTACAAAGTATGTTACAATATGCCACTAACAAAGCTTTTCTACAGCTTACCGCCAGCAATGTTGTTTAAGGGAGGGGAAAGGAATGGGTGGTAAAGGCAGGAGAAGAGTAATCTTAACTCTCAGTGGCATGCAGTTCTGTCTCCTCAATCTCAATTAATCAATCATTTAAGCTGTGGATTATAAACAAAAGTCAAGTCATGGCATTGATAATATATATTTTACATTACTATAATTACGTTTAAGAAAGCAACACCATTTTGGTGTCTATTTTAGGATGAATATGAATGCAATGTGTGTAGCATGGGGAGTGATATGATCTTTATGTTTCTGATTAAGATTGACTGTTTCTTTAACCAGGAACATTGATTGTCTGGAGAGCCTCATAACCACTCATCTACCCAGCGATGTGTAATTTAGCTAAATTTGATTTGAATTACCATAACTTTAAATGTATTCATTGAATAAAATAAACAATTAGAGCGTGTTTAGTAAACAGTAGTTATATTCAGATTACTGTTTCCACATATCAGGAGAACCTGTTACTTACATTCACTCGTGCACCGCTGATTTATGTGGTGCTCTGACATAATTATTACAAAAAGAGAAGGGAAAGAATAGAGAGGGGTAATTGCTCTTAAGTAAATTTTTGTTCCATCAACTCAAGTTCTAGGTATCAATTACTAATTCTACCCATATGTTTTTAATACAGAACAGTGTATTCTTACAGGCATGTCAGCGTAAAAGTAATGTTTGCGGTCAAACATGGACACAGGACTGAGAGTGCTTTTCAAAGCGAGCGCAGTGAGCACTCCGGCCTCAACACATCGTCTGTTCAACACCTGCAAGCAAAATATGATTTTGTTTCAATAAATTATAGAAAAGGGAAAGGCCGCCAACAATACTGAGAGTCACACCACCCAACAATAATTCTTGAGATGACTGTACAAAACAACAATAGTGTCTGTGGTGGAGATGAGTTCTTGTATGAATGCACATCTCATTTATCAAGTACTTTAATTTAAACGATCCATACACTATTCTAAACAATTGGTTTAACCTTCTTAACAACAGGAAACAACATAAACCATGTGGTTGAAATAGTTTAATGTGTAATTAGTGTGCGAAGTGGCACTTTGCTGCACATAAATGTTTACACATGAGGAAAGTTTCTCGAGTTCAGCAAATTCTCCTTGGGCTCCCGTTACACATTGTATTTTTCTTACAGTTACTTATAAAGCATATAAATAATTAGTCTTTAAAACATTAAAAGACATTTTACGTTAGGTTAAATCCAAGTGTTGAACAAAATGGGAAACGCTGCACCAGCTGATCGTAGTCGTAGTATCTTTAAGTGGTGCCAACTTATTTTTAAACAAACACGTATTACGTGCCTAATGAAAGCACAGTGTTTTGTGTTGTTTCGTTGGAATGCTGGGGTGTGGCAAAAAAATGATTGTGGCAAAAGTAAGTTTATGCAGCAATTAGCCGTGATCAGTGCAAGGAAGCCCACTTTGTCAGGTAATTGTAGGAAAAGTATATTTTACTGTAAGAATGAAGTTCTAATGTATATGATACCTTGAAAAGGCTATTAAGTATTATATTTTTCCATTGAAATATTACATCAAGCATCATAGGTAGCCTAAACAAAAGAGACAATTGTCACTAAAACAGAACTTACTGGCAATGTCCCTGGTATTGAAGCGTCAAAAAGCGACACATTATGGTTGACAGGGGAAGCAAAGTCTGTCCCTGCACCCGAAAACAGTTTGGAGACAGAATTGATCTGTGCGTGAATTTCAAGACCAACAACTCCGACTAAATCATCTCTGAAAAAATAATGAACCATCACATCTCATAGAAAAATTACAATTCATTTTTTGAGCTATCTCTACTAGGCCTAAGTAGGTAAAACTACTGACCTTATGATAATCTACTTTTTAGACTTTCCGATACTAAAAATGAGTTTACCCACATCAGTGAAAATTTTATGGAAGAAACTCAAATACTTTAAGGGGAAAGCGGCCCTAATTCCTCAATCTTTTGTTGATATGCCATAAATCGAACCAAAACACCTCTTACATCGTAATGACTTATTGGCCAATCATCCTAGTCAGAATGAAGTCTTATTAAGTTTTGATGTGAAAATAAAATGTTCAAAGCAAAAACATGGATTGAAACTAAAAACTTACGTTTTATATTTTGGTGATGTACTGTAGAAGAGAAGTCTGTGGTAAGTCTGACAGAAGCAGTTCCTAATTTGCACTAAATTGTTCAAAACACCACATTTAGAGTTTATCATTTTATTATCTAATTATTAGTCTGAGGGTTTGTTAGAATTTTAAATAAGTTGTGATCTTGAGTATCTTGCTAGTCATCATTCTGAAACATATTAACATTCTTTAATTCAGAAACAAGTAAAAGTTAATAAACCAACAACTTATAGAATTTTAATAGAAAAGGACAGTTAATACATAATGCAAAGGTCATTTGGAAAATAACTTCAGGCCAGTTATAGGAGAAACAACTCTGTGGATAAACAGAATTTTCGATTGAGTCTTTAGAATAATAGTGAACTATAGTAGGCCTACGGTATGTTTTTATAAGCTTTGAAAGTATAGTTTGTTTAAAATCTGCCGTGTGTACCTTGAGCCTGTCTGTAACCTTCCAGATGTTTATTCAAGTTGTCATCACATACTGAGATCCCGACCACTTCTTCGCACACAAGAAGGATGACAGTAGCTGGACAGATGTTGGAATACGTCCCAATTGAGCTTTCCCTCAAGGTTTTTTTTGCTATCTAGAAGCAGCAACAGGTCAGGCGTCAGCATGCAAAATCACAACACTGGAGGTCAAAATAAGACGACTTTTCCATTACGATGAACCCATTTACAAATTACTACTTTGGTAAGATTGCACATTTGGTCCATACACCGCACAAAGTTTCCGATGAATAACTGTGTCCAAATACTTTCATAACATTAAAACTATAAATCACCTCGCATCTTGTAACCCAATATCATACGGCTTTGCCCATTCTGAACAGGTACGAATTGAAAAGGCTGTGACCCGTTAGAAATTATGTGAGCAACCACCAGGATGGCAGGTTCGGACACTGTACGGTAGGCAGATGCTACCCTTAGTACTGCCTGACGCTGCACATGGGCGAGCCGCATCCTATAGCCTATACCTCGTTATTAAGAGCGTCTACCGACACCTTCACAAGAGTACGGACTGGACCGAAGACATAAAGAGCCATCTACGACTGGACCAAGGCCCTCAGACATTGGCCATAACAGGCTACGAGAAGATACTACCCTAGCCGCCTTGTCCGCCGTACGGAATATCTGATCCCGCCAGCTAAGCTTACTGTCGACCAAGACCCCAAGGTACTTGGCAGTACAAACGGTTTGGACTTCAAAGGCCCCCACCGTCAACAGCGGCACGATGTTGTCATTGTTGTCAATCCGTTTTTTTTGTCAAAATCACAATCTTGGTTTTGCTCAAAGCAAGCGAGAGAACGTGGTCTGCCATCCATGCGTTGATGGCCCTGTCGCCCTGGTCCTCAATGCAATCACAATCCTAACCTAGGCCAAACAATAACTTAGCCTAGTGCAAGCATCGGCAGGGTTATGATAATGATACATTTATTTAGACAACCTAACTTAGTAACGGAAATAATCCATTAAGATGTTCTAACAACCATGCTAACAATACATTAAAATATTTTAACGACACAAGTTTCATTGATATTTAAGTTAACTAGCCTAGCCTAGACCTAAGCATATCAAATTAAATATAGGACTAATAACAAAGTGTAGATTATGACAGTTTGACGCATAATTAAATGGTAACAACAATGAAATAACACTCAAATGCCTTTTTTTAATAACTCCTATTTACTTTGGTCTAACGTAAAAATTATAGTAAGTTTACCTTTATCATATAGATAGGGCTTGCTTACTCTTAGGTTAGGTTAGGTTTTTGTTTACTATATTTCACGACCGATTTCAGTCACACATGTTTTTTCTGCTTGCTTAAACTTTTTCCATACTTTCGTCTTCGTCTATATTCACAATAAGTAAACATGTTTTAGCTATGTAGCTTTGTCGCTTTTTGGCCATAGTCAATAGAAAACTTGCCATAACCAAAGATTAAATATACTAGGATTGCTTTCTGAGTGGCGTGGCGAAAGCCAGTTGAGCGGAGCAAACGTGATTTAATATTTTTGTATAAGTAACTAAATTTAAAAAAAGTCAAAAGATGTAGTAATGGTTGTTTTATTGATTAAAATTATGATAATTTACTTTGACTGCATCTTGTGATTCAGATACCTCTTCCAAAAGTGGATTATGATAGTTTTGGCAATTAATTAACACAAGTTACACTCTCAGTGGTTGTAGTCTTCAGAGAAAGGATGAAGCCAAGGACCTTGGAATTTTGATGCACTCTTCTTTAAGTTTTACCAACCACATCAACAACATCTCATCCAGAGCAAGCAGGAACTTAGGTCTAATATATATAGATCCTCACACTACCTTACAAACCCATCCACGCTAAAGCTGCTTTACTGTGCTTATGTGCGACCCATACTTGAATACGCATCTATTGTATGGTCCCCACACCAGGTAACGGCAGTGTCCACATTGCAGTCAGTACAGAACAGACTATTACGCCTGGTCGGCTTGAGACTTGGGTTCACTTATAGATCTGTACCAATGGATGAGGTATCTTGTCTGCTGAAGTTGGATACACTGGAAACCCGAAGAAAACTCCAGGATATCATCTTTCTCTTCAAACTTGTCAACGGAATAATAGACTGTCCTGAGATACTGGAGGGAATCCATTTTCGCGTTCCTAGTGGCACAAGGTCAACTGAACTCTTTGGTAGAGCCCACCAGTCCACCAATTACGAGAAGAACAGTACCTTGCCCAGAATACAGCGCCACGGCAACACCGTCTCCTCCAGTGTTGACTTCTTCAACAGCAACCTGGCCAGTTTTAGAAGAGCGGTAAAGCGACGCCTCATCCAATAACGACAGCCCAGATGATACGTGTTGGTAAAGTGAGATTGTGCGGTTGTGCTTGGCGATGCCTTTAAAGGATCGCATTCGGAATTTGTGGGTGAATGGTGTGCTTGTGTTAGGTGGCGCCTTTAAAGGGCCACACGCCTGAACAGGCAAATAGTGCGTGAGTGTTTAGCTTATTTATTAATTAATTAATTAATTTTTTTTTTGTTGTATCTTCAATATCCTTGTTGGTAATAATTATTATTTACACTTGTTTTTTTCCTAGTTTCTTTTCAAAATCACATTCATTAAACTGCATGTTCCTTGTATTATTAAACAAAGTTTTTCATAATTGCTCTAGTCATAATCTGTTATACTTATTTAAGCTAATATTTATTCTCCCAAACATGCCTGTTTTCCTTGTTATTTATGGTTATTATGTAATACGATCGTCTTTGTTATGTTTTTGCTATAATTTATTGTTGTTAATTACTACATTATTGTTGTTAATTACTATATTATTGTTATTTGTTTTGTATGTCTAAGTGTTAAAAGTTCACAGTTGTTATTTAATATTAGTCATCTTGAACTGTACAATGTATCTTTAGTACCACATCAAACAAAATGGAATGTCCGTTGAAAAAAAAAAAAAAAAAATTAACTCCTATCTTGAAGGTCGTAAGCAAGTCGTCTCGCTCGGTGGTACAACATCTGGCATCTGGTGTAAAGCTGTTAAGACACGGAGTCCCCCAAGGCTCGGTTCTTGGCCCCCTCCTCTTTACTATCGTCATAAATGATTTATCCTTCAGAAATTCACTTATTTCTACAGTATATATTTTTTGTTTTGTTATCTAGTTAGTAATGTTTTGCTGTATCATATTTAAGTAAAGAAAAAAATACAATGTACTCATCTGTAAATAATTAATGGGAAATAAAATATTATTTCATTTCATTTCATCAAACCTTACAATTAATTTGCAGACGACACCACTCTGATCACGAGAGGCAGGGACCTAAACCAACTACGCACTGATGCAGAATGCCATCTTGCTAGTGCAAAGGAGTGGTTCAACCAGAATTTGCTTAAAATAAATTACGAGAAGACTCAAGCACTGCTGTGTACAATTAAACCAAACCATCTGGGTGAGGAAGCTGTTAAACTCCTTTGTCTTCTGGATCGACTCCAGGTTAGGCCAGGTTAGGTTGGAAACACCACATTAGCCAGGTATGTGTCAAGCTTGCCAGAGTGGTATATCTCCTTAGGAAACTTGAGTTGGTCTGGTTGGTCATCACTAAACCACCTAGTCACAGTGTACCATACTCTCTTTCAAAGCCATGTAAGCTATGGCATCGCACTCTGGGGCCATGCAGCTGCAGCACATGACACCTTGCTTCTTCAGAAGATGGCTTTGAGGGTGATTACGTCCGCCGGGCATCGTGACCACTGTAGTCCTATCTTTAAAGACCTAAAGGTTCTGACCATCTAAAGCCATTACGTATTAAATAGCATGGTACTACTTAAAGAAAATTCAGCAAAACTTGCTCGACGTGAGGACCAGGATCCCTATCAAACATGACATGGCCATCTCCTTGACCTACCTAGATGCCGACTAGCCTGGGGCCTGGATTCAAAAGGGCTACCCCTACTACACTAGCAAGCTCTATAACACGCTCCCATTAGGGCCTTCAAAGACACCCTGAGAGACTATCTGGTGGGCAGACCTCTCCTCTATACTCACTAAGTGCCACTAAGTGAGCTGGACGAAACACCACTTTTTGGCAACCCTTAGTTAGTTCTTATGTAAAGGTAGTATTTATTATTTGTGACGCAATATTCCGACTTTGTCGGTCACCGATGCAGTATTCAAGTAAGTATATATAATTAATGACGTCTTTCAACATAACTATTTTAGTTGTGAGGTTGGTTACTTGTCACGTTACAAACAGCTGTTCTTGACATTGCATCGTGCTGGGCTCTGGATAACACTTTTCGAACTAAATATCGACATCAAGTTGTCAAAGATGGCGTTACTATAGAACGGTTGTGTATGTGTTGTATTATGAGTTGTTTAAGTGTTGTATGTTTCAGTGTGGGATACGTGTTTATGTAATTTTCATATAATATTTTGTTGGATAGTATACCCAGTGTTTGTTTTTGGTGTGTTATGCTCAAGTTTACCGCGAATATAAACATTAAGTCCTCAGTGTGGCTCGGCGTGCTTTGGCTGTAGCCGACTGGGGAATGGTGTGTAAAAATCATGGGTGCTCAACCAACTAAAGAACGTGGTGTTTCTACTGGAGCTTTAACTGTTAGAACAGCCAGGAGTAAACCTCGACATCCTAAGGATGGCCGTCATCAGGGATCAAACATCTTTACAGAACACAGTGGTGAGTTTCATTGAATTTCATAGACCAAGTCCTAATGTAAGTAGCCTAGGCCTATTCTGTAGGCTACTCAGATTTCTTAGTTTGAAATTTTAATGCATAGGCCTTTTAAATGGTAGATGTTAAATACGTTATTGGCCTTGTTAGTTTCATCGGCTCTATGAAGCCAAAACTAAATAACTTGGAGTCAAGTTGTTGGCCTAGTGAGTGAGTAACTTACATAAGTTAAGCCTAAGTTACTCACTTCCCCAAAGGGAAATGTACAGCATGAAATCTGTGCATCCAAACAAAACGTTGCTCTTATAAGTAATTTGTTAAGCCAGACAAAGGTTGTTTTGGCGGCAGCCAAATCGCCCTATAACTTAATCCAACACCAAACCTTAAACTAGCCCAGTAAGTTAATTATCGTGTACACAAAATTGCTTGTCACAATTGACAAGTAGGATTAAGTCAGTCTTGATGCTGTCAGAGGAATTGGCTAGTGGGCCTAGCGGAAGTTGTGTTATCCTCGACGACAAGGACAAGCTTTATCATCAGACACTGGCTGGACGCTAGTACCACTCTAGCTTGTAAACTCTTGTAAATTAGCGTTTGGATGATAATTCTCTTGAGGAGTACCCATGGGAAATCTAGATGTAGGTAGACCTGCTATACTGGGTTTTTTATTATCCTCATAAAAAATTTATAAAAACACGGTAATATTGTAGTAACGGTAGGTAACTTGTTTATAGGCCTTATAACTTAGTAAATCAGCTGCATTAAATAGTAATCATGGTTTATCAGCTGATGCAAGTTGTCATCTTTGTTTTATCACACAGTAAGGAAGTATGGCCTAATTAACTTAATTGTTATCAGAGAGCAAGATAAGGACATTTTAAATTGTATTTTGTTAATGTAGTTTTGCAGGATTGAAGGGATTAAGTTAAATTATGCATTATAAGTTTACCTGTTTGCCAGTTTTTGGGCAACATATTAAAACACCGTTACCATAATGCTTACGGTAACCGGTACCTTAACGTTGAATGTAACACCCCAAAAACTGTACGACCTTTTTTCTAACACAATTGTTGGATATTGGCTTCTAATACTCTTGGCATACATTATATGTGAAATATGTATAAGTTATGTTTTGCAGCCTTAAAACAATTTCTAACAGCTAAAATTCACTTTGAATTGAATTTTTATTTGGCATGAATGAACTTGAACGTATGTTAAATAGGTGAAGTAGAATTTCTCATCCCAGTTTTATTTATCTAGTAAAGGCCAACAGGAAAGTTAAACCTACGGGTACCGTAATAATTTTTAAATTTTAGCGGTAAAATTTTTTTTATCTAGTTATATGTCGACAAATTTATTTGCATATGCTAGTATCATTTGTTCAAAAGTTTGATCAATGTGTTCAATGATCCTCTTCTTTAGTCTTTTATCCTCCTTCTTCTGTTACAGATTTAAAAAAAAATTAAATAAGACCTAAATTACAATAAACTAATAACTTACAATGTACGGTAAACATGTGTTGAGCAGATTGTGGAGGCATGAAAACATCTGTTGTATGAAACCAACAAAAAAGAGGGTGGCCTCTTCTACAACTAGGCTAGGCCTACCTCTTTTCTATTTCTTACAGAAGCTAAGAATTGTTGCACTGGAGTAAATTTATTCTTTTCACACATTTTCTTGGTTATGGAGTGTTTTGGGATTTAAAATGAGTCAGGCCTAACGTATAAGGCCTAGGCCTACTGTACTAACATAATAATATTTTTAAGGAATAAAGAATATTTTTTTCTGTATTGTAGCCTAGGCCTGTGATAGTAGCTAGAAAGAATACTAAGTAGGCCTACCTATAATATATAAACTATTTTCCAAATTGAATTGTATCAATGAACAAATTACAATTGGCTGAAAAAAACCTTTAGCTTAACTTCAAAATAGCGATGCTAGAGGTTAAGAATTGTCCCTAACTACCTTAACTTAATAAGCACTCTATCATCACAAATGCATTATTAAGAGTAGGCTACATCTTAACTTAATTAAAATAATAGGCTTTTTTGCCATCACATCAATTTAAATATTTAAAACTTGCATTTTTGATATTATCAGAGCTAGAACCCTCTGAGCTCTTAAATCTATATGTTTAGCTGAAATCTGCCCACGATCCCTTAAAAGATTATTTCAAACCCCTTTGACCATAACGTACCTATTGAAATTCACAGCCTGTTAGTTCTGTTGTTTTTAAATGTATGATCATACCCTCCGTTTTCTATAGGGATAACATATGAAAATTGGATAGCAATGTACAACAATAAAGTAATCTTTGTAGGAACATGTCCATTATTATCCCTTCCCAATATAAAGATTTGAAATATTTGGATCCTTCCAACTAACCCTCTCTGTTTTGACAAAATTTTTATCCATCCAAAGTATAGAACCTGGATGTTATAGTCCTTCATAGATATTAATCTACACTAAAGTGCTTTTTTGTCTATCAGAATGAGTATGTCTGCCATTACCCCCCTCCTGTCTGATCTCCCTCCTTTTCTCCCTACTTTACCCTCCAATTCAGTCTGCTCTCATCATTCCCTCTCCCTCTGCCTTCTTTGTTTTAGAAGGGGAAGAACTTAGATGTTAATTGCACCAGTGTCCTCGTCCTATTTTAAGAAGTACTTTTTATTTTCTCTCCTGTTAAATTTTTATTTCTTCATAATCGTTTTAACTTTTCACCCTCCTTTCAATTGTTCTTCCACTTTCAACAGGTTTTATGAATGATAGGACACAGACAATTGGTGAGGGGTAGGCATTTTCATCGATTGGCTGTTAACGATGATAAGTATTTTTTGTGTCTGCTGATCAGAGGTATGAAATACAGTGTGTTTCTTAATTAATACCAGGTTTTTAGGTTTTTTCATTGGCTTTAGGTTACCTACTTAGTTTTTTTTAAGCCCACAAGTGATCAATTTTGAGTAATCACTCTTCTCGGGATACCAATCAAGCCATTAAAAGGAGTTTTCCCACAGTCACCTGATAAAGTGTCCTTCCTTGCACTGATTATTATTACAGAAAGTTGCAAATTGCTGCATCTAATTAGGCTACCTACTTTTGCCGCAAACCTTTTACTTTTGCCGCACACTTTTTTTTTTTTTTTTTTTTTTGCTGCACACCAGTATTCCAACCAAACAACACAAAACAGTTTGCTTTTATTAGGGCATAGGCCCTATAATTTGTGTAGGCCCTACGCTTGAAAATAAGTTGGCAACACTTAAAAATATTACGACTACGATGAGCTGGTGCAGCGTTTCCCATTTTGTTAAATGTTTGGATTTAACCTAACCTAAAAACGTGTTGTACAGTGTTTGAAAGAATAATTATTTACTTTTATGCTTTATAGTAACTGTAAAAAGTATAATAACTGAAAAATATAATGTGTAACTTAACGCAAGTGCAAACTGCCTTTGCGGCACTCGAGAAACTTTCAGGGTGTCCACATTCTGGAAAGTCAGGGATAGTCATGGAAAAAAAATTTGGTCATTGAAAGTCAGGGAAATAGGCATGAAGTCATGGAAAGTCAAGGAAATTTCCAATTATGGTTGGATTTGAGAGGACCATTCAATGCTGTAGTTGGCCGCAACCCCGACTGTTGTACCATTTTTCAGGATTTTTCACAAATGTTCGACAATTCAATTTATTACAGTTGTATTATTTTATGAGTTTTCGGTTTGTTTTAGTTCATTGTTGTACCTATTGTACTCCATTGTTATCTGTTATTACATATTTCAGTATTTTCTGCAAAATAACATGTCCAGGCAGTATTATTTGTGTGTGTATGTTATATTATAATTTGCGTGTAAAGTTCGTGAGTCATGGAAATCAATGGTAAATGGTCATGGGTAGTCATGGAAAGTCATGGAAATTAATGACAATTTTTTTGTGGACACCCTGAACTTTCCACACTGGCCTACCAAAAACATTCGCGCGTACGTAAAAATTTCTCTCGTGTGCAGTAAAGTGCCACTTCGCCCATTAGTTACACAAATAACGATTTTCTTGAAGTTTTAATATATTATAACTAGCTGGCCCGACAGACATCGTCCTTTCCTTATGTGGTTTTATGTTAAATGCTTGTTAATTTTAAGAAGAGCTCATTCGCATCGCTCAATCAAGTCTTGATTGAAGTTCATTCACTCACGTTTACGTTGGAGCTCGTTCGCTGCACTCACTCGCCTCCAGGTTCAAGTTCTTTTGCTGCACTCACTCGTACATTTTAGTTGAAGATTAACACATGTTATTGTATCCCACAGTTTGATGAGAACATTTTCCTCCAATGCTAATGTAAAGGCATTTTTTTTATTTTTTAAATCTAATTATTGTACTGGTACTAAATAAGGTTTGGATGGATAATAAATGTCCTTACATAAAAACCTTTCACTGGCATTAAGGTCCAATTCGGTGCACTCGTTCTCGAGTTATGGAATACCATAAAAAAGGGATTATTAATTTTTATTTATATAGATTCTGTAGACTATATTATGTAGTACATATACAATGGACATCACTGTTTTTGAGTTCACCAAGGACTTTCAACAAGGAGTTTAAAAAATAATTCATTACCGGTATCAGAAATATTTCTTGCACACACATTCAAAATTGGATCATGTGTTGTCAATTTAGCTAGATATATCTTCTTTTGGAGGATCTAATCTCATCTAATCTATCAATGCCCAGAGATTGCTACTGTTCTTTGATGGGTTTTTTTCTGTAAAGGAAAACAATATTTAGATGTGCTGATGTTAGTCTCTGGGGCTAAGTGGGTCAGTGGTTGACATTCTAGTTGCCACCCTCCCCCACCCCTCCTGTCATTAGGGTAAAGTTGCGTTAAAACATGAAGGGCACTCGGGTAACTCGCTGTTCAGAATCACCTTGTTTTAGGCAATGTGTTTATAACATTAAAACTATAAATGGCAATGAACAAATAAAAAAAAGTAAAAAATGGTTTTAAAGGTAGACACGAT